CCGCGCGATTGTCCCTGACGCGGCACGAGCTGAAAACAATATTCGGAGAACCCGAACGAATTACAGGAGGAGAAAAAGAAAAATTGCAAATCGCTTTATGGAGAACTGTTGGCGTTGCGTGTGAAAAATAATAAATTTTTAAATTTGAAAAACTGAAAAGTATCATCCGCGAACAGTTTTCTCGACGCGACGATATATCTATCATCGAATCTAATAAATTTGTCGCGTATCGAAGAGTTATTATATCGAGCGGAGGGGGGAGGGGTGGAAATCGGTTGCAGAAGAGACGGTCGCCGCGCCGTGGAGAAAATCGTAGAATCAAATATCCGGCGTGCTTTCACGGTACGCTTCCCTAATTTGTATTGCGTATGGCAGCGGTGCCGAGATATTAGGGGCAGTTATCGCAACGTATTGCTCCTAATCGTTCCATCCTGGCGGTAGCTACCGTGGGTGGTGTATACGGAGAGAGATGACGCGAGCGTTAAACAGAGATCGTAGGAGAGGGCGCGCGTATAGAAGGAAGGAGAAAAGAGGGCTTACCGAGTCGAGGGGTTGGTTGCGAGCAGACGATGAACAGAGAAAAACTACCCCCGTTGACGTAGGAGTAAAAGAGACGGGGATAAAGAAAAGGGGAGAAAGAAAAGAGTAGACGAAAAGGTGGATAGAGGGAGAGAGACAGAGAAAGGAGAGAACGATCGGGGAACACAGCGTGCACTGGTGCTTTTGACAGGCCGATGAATTGAATAATCGCAAGTCGAGTCGAGGGGGTCCGCCAAATCTCAGTGCCCAATACGTCGACAGATTATAGATATAGCTACCCACATACGTATGTGTATTACGTACACCTAGACCGTAGCGTTCGGTGTATGCGTTAGGTGAAGTGAATAGATGTAGGTGGAGGGTATACGTCGAAGCTGATCACGGATTATCAGGTTTGTGGAAACAAGTCCGCCGGAGTCGAGGGTTAACGATATTATCACGTACCGTGTGCGTACAGACACTTTGACGTTTCTCGTCGATCAGTTTGAACTTGTCGATGGCATTTCTCCCCGGTAAGCAGGGAGGCGATAGCGTTAATAAGAGCAGCGGTTTAAAAAAAAAAGAAAGAAAGAAATAAAAAAATAGGAAACGACAGGATGATGGGCTTTGAAACGCAATGTCGGTTTCACGAATTCCCTCTGTTCTTTCAATCGCTAGCGATAGGATTAATTAAATTTTCCTTTGAGAAATTAAATAACGCTCGCGCGTGTATACGCCTGTAATTAAGTGTACGGTATAATTCATGCATCACATGGTGAAATGCGTATAAATTGGATTTCCTTGATTCATTGATTCGTACAACACGAAGAAGATTCAGAAATTACGCGGTTCAACAGTTCCTAAGCTCCGAGCGGCGTCTGGCTCGCACGTGGCCTCTTCACTTTTAACCGCGCCTGTTTTGAACGTGTACCCACCGGGAGGTAACTCGGTCCCATAATAGGGCTCGATTTCTTATTGCCTACATACGTGTAGGAAATGTAGGGTGCTTTGAAGTCCATCGCATGCAAACGAAAATAGGTATCGTACGAAAAAGTGGATAGGAAGCGTCGATCTAACTAAACCACCCCTGGCAGTGTCCCTTTCAGATTAAGGCAATCCAATTTCTATCTCTATAATCGCTTGAAAAATTTTAATATATCGAACACCATGTTCAATTCTTACGGTACGAGATGTAGTTCGATGAAAAATCATAAAACGTGCAAAGCCGAGTGAAAACTTTTTTTCAGAATCGAATCGAAAATGCCAGTCGAGCCGGGGTACACAGAAAAGCGATACGTTACAAGCAGTCAGGGTATGGTTTAGGTTTAGGCACTGGCTCGGCCTGGATACGTACGGAGAATGAGAATGGGTGGAAAGCAGTCAGAGAGCGAGCCGAGTCGAGCGTCTGGTGCGTTTGACGTTGATACCACGATAAGATGAAAGAGCCTCGAAGCTTATATCCGACCTATATGACTGTATTGTTGCGCACGTCTAAGCATAACGTAATACGGTGCCGATACACGCTGATATATATATATATATATATGTTTCAGACATGGTATTTGCTCTTTATCGAGAGGAACGAATACGAATCCCTCCGAGGGATAGCTGCAGATGTTCTTGGAATAGCTTGGAAACCGATCCGATTGCGTTCCGTTTCGAGCTGAATCTACCAATTAAGATACCCCCTAGTGGAATATCAAGATACTGTGCTATGAATTTAAGAATCTACAAGATTGCAAATTTGTAATATTAAAAAATTATCTTAGATAATAAAGAAATAAATTTACTGCTAAACTCTCATTGTTAATCAACATATTAATCGACAGTCTTCTAACTTGTAATCCTCTCAGCTGTCATCCCTTACGATAAAGCACAAAGTTCCTCGAATATCCGACAATGTTTCCATTGAAAAAGAACGAAACGATAATGATGGATTTGTTGTTGGGGAGGATCGTGGAAAAACGAACGACACGGTGAATCGTGTATACCGTTAAAACTGTGCATTGTAGAATAACGCGTATACCGAGGCGTCCGATTCACCTGTTTTCCGGCGTTTCGCCGATTGGCTGCCGTAGCCGGTGCCGTTTCATTCCTTCGTTTTTCATTCGGTCGGGCAAAGCGGAAGCGAGAAAGAGCGCGACGTGGGCGGTTCGTTTATTTAAACTGCAGGTGCCAGTGGAAAAATGCAGCCTCTACCCTTCGAACCGGCCGCACAATACAACCGAACCGATTGTACGTAGAGAAACGTAGAAAGAGAGACGTACACATCGATGCAGCCTGCGGCTGACGAGCGACCGAACAACAAACGCCACCAGGAAAACGTGGAACCGCGGCTGATTGCGGCTTGAAAATCAAGCCAAACCCATTGTCGGGATGTCCTATTAGTTTTCCATTTACCCGTGACTCTATCTCTCTCTTCCTTTCATTCCCATCCTACCGAATCCGTTCACCCTCTCACCCTCCTTTTCCTTTCATTTTTTGTATCTTAATTCTATCACTCGAGGTATTGAAAAATTATGAAGAATAATTATCGAAGAGAATTGATGGAATAGTTGTCTCGAGTCGGTACCGGGTTTTGAGTAAAACCACCCCCGAGTTAAATATCGTATTATAACGATTCACATCGAGAGGAATCATCTGCGCGAGATTACAAGTAACATGTCGCGATAATGGCTCGATCAAAGTGCCCCTTGGAGTGTCTTAAGGGGACCACCGATCTGATGTGTCCATGGGAAGGTCAAACGTACGGTATTATAGTTGCTATCTGTCTTCGCGTATGTATGTCGCTCGGCAGTCAGAAACACTCGTCCAGAAATGTCAACCGCACGCGAACCCTATAAAGGATTTCTATGGATCGGTCGCGTGCCACCAAGTATATGGTCGAACGAGCTGTATGCAAGTAAAAATCCTTGTCTGCGTTTAATCCGTCGATGATTACATTCGGAATCGTTGTAAGTACTTCATCAGAACTTGGTTGTATAATACTAAGAAAATAAAAAAAAAAAAAACTAATATCCTGGACCATTGTGTGTATCTTAGGTACAGCTGATGTTACAAGGATATACCATTACGAAGTTCCGAGCGATTTAAGTCGGGATGTAACGATATTTTACGTTAGTAGGTACAAAGTAGAGCAAGTTCTTCCCCGAGTGAAACGGTAATGCCGAAATTATCCGACGCTTTATTATCGGCAATAAAAAGTTTCCGAGACATTAGCTATCTTGTCTCTATTTCGTCGGCTACCTGGTGCAGGTTATGCAAATCCGTACGAATCCTGTTCCCGTTTTAATTACCGTATTATGCGACCGGTAGGGTCTGAAACGAAGGCACGGACTGTTTATTGCGACTGGTAGCGAAGAACACCGGGTACACCTTAATCGTTCAATCGAGCGGATCGTGGACGAAGTCATCCATTCTTGGTGACGGCCCTTTCATTGGGGATAATTAATGTAACAGGAACGATGTAATTGCTTGTTAATACCAGCCCGCACATCTGCGTTCCGATATTATAAAGCCCTGCTTAGCGATGCCAGAAGTGTTCGAGAGACATATGTATTGACATATTAACACGAGTGCTGCGGGGGTCATTGGTGACTGATATCACGAATTTAGTGTAATCTAATAATGGCCCCCTGGTAATTTTCATATTTTTTCAAATTTCTTTTACCTTTTATCACGGATAACCTTATTAGTTTTTAAAGGAGGAATATGAAATTAAAGGAAGAGGCACGTATCACTACCCTTTCATCTACATAAATTTAGTTCGTTCAAGTATAGATGACCGTCTTGAAAGTTTGTTCAATTGCATCGTCTGTGGCGCCGTCAGTACATTGTACACGTAGAGGAAATGGTAACGTTACAAACACGCAGAATAGAAAGGTACGGACACAGAGGAGCAGTCTTGGACCTTCTACAGCAAAGCTATGCCGTGCAACGCGAGTTGGTTGGTTCCATTTGAGTCAGGGTATCGAGGTGTCAATAGCAGCTGCCATGCTACACACAAGACCCCTGACTACGGCACCCCCTTGTTGTATTCACTTCACTTCTTCACCCTTATCTACAGCTCGGACCTCGATACTAGAGGCATATTCATGTCCCCGGAATGTCTAGAATTCCTCTGACCAATATTTTTCGATTTTCTTCTTTTTTTTTTTTTTTTATGATCTCCTTGAATTTAACCGGAGACCAATAAACGGTGTCTCACACCGACGTCGAATTAAAATTAATCATCGCGATAATACGATCTAATTAGCACGGTTGATTAGGTACTCGGATAAAAGTGGAGGTACAGAGGGGGGTGCATGTAAGTCACTTCATTCGGTCGCGATAAAATGCGCTTCCTCGTGGATGCAGTCTCGCACGTTTGCAAGGTAGGTGGAGCACCCCACTGTTTTTAAGCGTCGGTGACTAATTGGTGATGTCGCGGCCAGGCGTTGAGACACACCCCTCTCTCGCTCTCGTCCTCTTTTGGTACTCACCCTCTCGACCGTACACCGACGACCCTCTTCTCGTCGCCTCTTCTTCGAGCAGACGCCACCACCTTCCCTTTCTCCTGCCTTCCTACGCTTTCTCTCACAACAGTGGTGTATTAACACGTTCCATGGTACATCTATGACAGAAAATTTCAATTTCGCTTCATTTTTCGTTGAAAATTTATATTGTTCGTTCATTACTTTTTTTTTATTTTCATCTTTCTTCGAGTTTGAGTAGTTAGATGGTTCGATCGAGATTAATTCTATAGAATTCATAAACACCTTTATAAAATACGCTACTGCTGTTATCCCTCAACGTCTCTTCCCCCACTGTTCTTCCTCAATGGAGAAGGTACAAAGGAGAGCTTTAGTTGGCTCGTTATTATTACTATACACGCCCACATAAAATAGTTATACCTCCGCGGTAGCACGAGCTCGTAATAAGGACCGTCGTTTTCCAATTATTACGGTAAACAAGAAATATAAAATTAATTAATACTTAACAATGTAAAATTCATCAAATAAATTAAAATTGTGGCTCTCTCCATGGTCCGCTGTTCAATTTAACTTGAATATCTTTAATTTCGAGCACTAATTAATCAATCAATTGAAAAATTTTAATCCATCGATGTCCAACACCGACCCTATTATCTTTAATGTATTTCCGTCGACTTACTTCCAATAGTATCCGAGCCATTTGTAACAGGAGTTGGTTAGTCCGGTACATTTGCGGGACGCCGGACGTTGGATAAGCTAGCTAATAATGGCGGTAAAGTCAGGTCACCGACAATGAGCTCGACTGGGTGCGAGCAGCTTTTACCCCATTTTTTCCTGAAAAAGAAAAAAAAAAAGGTCAATCTCGTATCCCTTACCAGTTGTTACCCCATGCGTTCTTTTTTTTCACATTTTTGGAAACGATCGAATTATACCGCCCACTTCTAAATTTCCCCTTTTCGATCTTTCTTTCACACCGTTTCCAATGTTCCTTTTTTTTCATGATCTCTCTCCTCCGGAAGATCGACACACGGTTGCCAACGTCCATTCGGCATTGTACAAAAGTATCGTGTCATCAGTCATTTTCTTCGGGGTGACCGACAATAATACGGTATAATAGAATCGGCGTAATACCGGTGCCTTTGCTACCCTGACACGAAGTCGAGAATTTTATTATGACACATCGCTCGTTTCCGTCGAGCGATTCTAACGCCCGCCACGATTCATGATGTATAAATTAACGGGCGAACGCCGCGCGGATTGAAACAAGAGGATAGATTACGCGTTGCTATTTAAAAATTTGTTAAAATTTTAGCTGACACCGTCGGGTATACGGGTAATGATAAAATACAGATTTATTTGAAAGATTCTTGATCACAATAGAATCCTCCATTGAATAAACGTTTAATATAATCCCTGTAAGGTTGCGGCCCTCTTTTTGCCAGAGGCGTCGGGCTTACTAAAAGGCACACTCCAATGTTTGACCAAGCTGTGCAAATATAAACGAACATCGTGTATATCGTGGTAAGAGGAGCACAATTCGAACGTGCACCGAAAGGCCTCCCTGTTGGCAAACATTTTAACAGGATTAGAGCACACTTACCGGGGCTAATCTGACCAAATAGTCCTATGGGAAACCGCAAGCTTTAAGTAGCTGTCATAGAGTTGTCGGCTCCACGTAATTTACCTTTCTACCACAAATATTAAGTTTCCAGAAAAATTTCAATCGTCGAATATTGAAAATTATTTTCAAATAAATTATTCTATTATTATCGAATAGACATAGGTATTGGCGAATAAATGTCTACGATGCAACGTTACAACGGTGTAACGTGTTACTATGAATAATCCATTATCTCTAATTTATTTCATATCTTTCACCTCTTGGTAATTTCATGCTCCGCTTTTCACTGATACCGAATTAATTGCCATTCTATCACGTACACGCGAGCAAAAAGCAATTTTCCGTTTATATGATCTCCCAGTGAAATTTGCCTAAACACCACTGTCTAAAATATCAAACAAAACCAAACAAGTTGCTTGAAATTATTAATGTACAATAATTTAATTCGTGTACCTGGAACAGAATTTCATATTCTGTTGAAAAAGGAAATTCTATTTTGTTCATTTCTCTCCCATAAATGTTATTTATTTTTTTGTGATATTTCAAACTTTTTCACTTCGAAGGGTTAAATATTTAATCGAAAATATAATACTAAGGATATCAAAATGAAGTAAATTTTCTGGACAAATATCATCTCTACCCATCTTTTCTTTTGCCAGTTTTCATGCAGACTCGCGATGCACCGTTCATTATACATTCAAAATATTATCCTTACATGTATGTTTGCTGGGCGAATGCAAACCATTGGAGATAAAAAAAGAACTGCTTACAACGTGTTTGCTTAGAATAGCAATAGTGTCAGCTTGTGACGTGCTCTTTGTAATCGTGATGGTTGGGTTCGTTAGTTTGCTCGTCTCCTCTGCATATGCATGCGGACGTGTTTGCCTTTCCAACGATTCCCACTTGTCTCCAAACTTATACAATAAATTGCAAAAAAAAGAATCCAGACTGAATTGTTATCGAAGGGAGAATTCTGCTATGGAAGTTTTTGAAATTTACAGGAACGATGTCGATGGAAAGGATAACACGACTACAGATACTAGTTTTTTCATCATTTTAAAATTCTATAATTGTGAAATTGTAAAGCTTTAAGGTTCTAAAATTCTAAGATACTAGTAGTCTCTTCGTCATTTTAAAATTCTATAATTCTAAGATTGTGAAATTTTAAAGCTTTAAACTTTTAAAATTCTAATATTCAAAGGTTCTGAACCTAGCCCACCCCAAAAAAATCATAAATACCCCAATACCTCCACGTGTCAAAAATCCATAAATATCCCCAGTCTGCAAAAAAAAAGCAAAAAGAAAGAAGTCGAAGAAATAAATGAACGAACCCTTTACAGAAGAACCTCACGCATTGTCCCGCGATGAATATAATAGCATCTAATGGAATATTATCACCACTCGCAACTAACTCCATCACACAGATCTCTCTTTCTTCGTTCCTCCTCTATCAGTATCTCTCTCGCTCTCTTCTTCATCGTCCTCTATTGGAACACGCCTGCTGCACTCGTAGATGTCCATTAATCACGGACATAAGCAGGCGACTAATTGTTGGGTTTCAGGGAGAGAAGAACAGACAGAGTGGAATGGATAGAGAGGCATAAAATAACGTCCCTTTATCGAAGGCACGCACCCCTTACACACGATGGACCCTTCGATTCATCCGGAGATCGGAGGATCACGCTGTGAAAGTGATCGTGGATCGTGCGACGGGACATGACTTGTCGATTTCACAATCGTTTATTATTTCTTTTCGATCATCGATTATACTAGCCTGTGTGTTAACCGTGAACGGTGATGTTCGAGCCTCTCAGAAAATACCCATTTCACCTAGGAACTCTGTAAATTTGAAAATTGATCATTTTTCAAAATTGCATAAGATTTTGTGAAAAAAAATTCTAAGTACACCTTTCGAGGATTTAACTCGAATCGTGTAAGGGTTGAAAGAAGTTGGAATCATCGAAGGTACTTAAACATTCAGGGAACAAAGAAAGAGGAGACAGTTATGGAAAGGTGGGATAGATAGAGGAAAAAAAAACTTCCCATAAAATTGGCCAATGATTTTGAAAGCATTTAAGGACAGAGGTATGGAAAAACCGACCAGCCCATCGAGGACAATCGCAGGAATGTCAGCGGAAAGAGGAGGCAAAGGTGCGATGTGTCTGTAGGTAGGAATCAACGGCGTAGGTCGCTTCTCTATAATCCATCATCGCATGCCTATTCGCGGAACAGAGAAACGATCTGTCATCCACTTTCGTTTCGTTGCGTCAGTCCATTCTACCCGAAACGTTTCCGTTCCTACGTTAGCCATTTAGACGAAACGTCACCACTATTTTCAATATAATTTTGAAAATTTACTTATTTCGTTCCATGATTGTTTACCATGTTCCAATTTGAAAATTTATAATTTCATAGCTAAATTTAAGATCCTAAATTAAGATTAAAACGAAGATCCACTGATTCTATTCAACTTTCAAAAAGTAATACGAGTTTAATAGCTACGGTGCTTCGTATGTATGCAAAACAAGCCTGCAACAGTCTACAAAGCAGACTCGAAGGCCTTTAAAAGGTGGGATCTATTTGTCGTTAGATAAATGTGCAACTGGTCTGGATCGTTGCGCCTGGTTGCACATCCATCGCATTGAAATCGTTCGCCGCTAATGACGTTGATTCGTTCTACTTCGTCCTCGCTATGCTAGCAAACATTCTTTGAACTTCTTGCCTGTCGGCTCGTTCGATCAACAGTTTTGCAAACGACTGACTTGCCTGTCTCTGAACACCTGGTTCACCGAAATTTACTAACAGAATCATACAGAATTCTCAAATCAATTTTGTAAAATAAAAATACTTTATATTCTTAATTATTGAAAGCCCCCTCTATAATTAACAATTCTTTTAGAAATCCTTCTTATATTTTCGAAAGAAAATATATTGAAATGAAAGTTTAATACTTAAAATCGTAAATCCTGTCGGGCCTTTTTCACCCTAAATCGGCCAAGACAAATGGCGTAATGGTCGATAATAAAAAATTAGATGGAATAATAGGACGTTCAGTCTCGGTGTATTATAAAGATCAGTGTACAAACCAGAATGAAAAAAGGTGGGAGAGAGGGTGTACCCGTCCCACGTTTCATCCCCTTCGGAAGTTCGCGCTTAATATTATTAAATTGAAGGACAATGCCGGTGGCTCGTGGCACGCGACGTTTAAACGATTTTAATAACATTTCACGGAGATTTTTTTAATAATATGATAATAAAGGGAAATGAAAGAAAACGCTCAAGGGATTATTATCATTCTGTCACGGGGTCTCCATCTGCCCTCGTTCTGTCCCTCTTCTACCAAAGGCTACCATCCACCCAACCTGCCGCACCGATTTTCATCGCCAGATATACCGGAACTTCTGTTTCACTTTCATTTTAATATTCGTTGAAAAAGAATTCAGTATCTTCACCTCGTTGCTCCCACGCAAACGGGATCTGATCAGAGGCAACCGTTCTTTCGTCTTTTAATTTCTCACCATCGCGCTGGTTTTATCGAGATACCGAAGTCAATATCGATCGTGATCAATTTCCCATCTATGTTTCTATACGTATCTCAAATCTTCTTTCCTTTGAAATTTCAAATGAACAAATTCTTTCTCAGTACGTCATACGGATAAAAACCATGGCTCCACTGTATTTTGTATGGAATAAAGGAGTGATGCTTGGAGAACGCGGCAAGCATTATGGGTTAAAGAATGGGGATATTTTACGCTCGGTAAAGCACAGTCCATTGGACAAGCCCACCCCTATCCGTACACAATAGACAGGGTGGCTAGGTGCCCTAGGTGTCAACCCGGTCTCGTTTCGTACGGGTGGTCTCCTTTCGATACTCTTCTACACTTTTGTCAAGTAGCGTTTCAACAAATGAAAAGGGTTAACTTTCGCAAACGTGTTCGACGATAGAAATTATGCAATCGTTCGCTAAAATAAAATTTTCAAATTGACATCTATTCGATTTGCGAGCGGTAATCGTGGTTGAAATTTAATTTGCCAGATGCTTAATTAGCTTGTTTTCTTGAAGGAAATCCCCCTCCCGTTCGAAAGGCGTGAAAAACGTTGGACGGATGCCCAAGGATCCATTATCATGAACAAGAGCAGTAACGCGGCGCCCAGCGAAGCAGATAAAGCTACAAAATATTAATCTCTTGTCGGGTCGAATGTATTTTTCAGAATTTCAACGTGCCGTTCCTATAATGCTCCAATAGTTAATGCGGGACCATTAGTCAAACGTCGAGGGCTCGTGCACACGAAAAGAGAAATTTCGATTTTAAATCGCTACATTTATCATGCAAGCAGGCGCATATGACACCGTTCTGATTTTATTTTGTTTCTCTTTCTTCCCTCTCTCGTTTTCCATCTACGTTTCAACCCCTTTTTTTTTTTCAACGGTACAACGTATGGGCTACTGGTTGCGAGTTGTTCCCTGTTTTTCGAAAACCGATCAGCTAATAACTTGTAGCCATATTTTTTCCTCGATCCGCGCCCGTTTCGCGAACGGATTGACGAAAAAGAAGCACGCGAAACACAGTTAATTGATTCACCGTTACCTGGTAACAGCGTGAAAATTAAAGGTGACTGTATCATTTCTTCTTTTTCTTTTTTTTTTTTTTTTTTCATTAATTTTGTTGCGTTCCTTAATTAAATTTTGCGGTATCGTTCACCGGTGATCCCTACGGCATTCGGCGTGTTAAAGTAATTTCTGCTTGTTAATATTTTATAATTCGAATGAAATTTTATCGTACGTGCTTAATTTAAAATTAAACGTACGTGGAATAAAATTTAGAAAAAAAAAGAAATTATTGATACGTTTAATTCTTTTCTATACTATTGAATCGGGAAATAGTTATGGGACCACATAATGGCGATTAATAGACGTGGAATGATCTGTCGGATAGTAAACAGAGTAACTGATATATTTTGCAAAAGCGTCACATATATAGCTAATCGAAAAGCCATAATTGTCCCATAAAGTACGCTTCCATTCATCCTTCCTCGTAAACATGCTATCAGAAAATAATAAAAACGCCAAGGGAAATCGGCATGATTCCGCACCAGAAGCTATAACACACCGGGACCGTGCTCGTAAATTTTCGACCACGTTTTACTCTCCTATTTATTTCTCCTTTGCGAGGAATCGATCAGAACCTAACGCAGGTATCAAAATCTAATAGGTCTTCGATAGTTCACCGTGTGAAATCCAGCTGAGATTTTTATTACGGCCAATGATGCGATCGGGCTTTATAGAAGGATGAAATACTTGATTGTGGATGCGTTTTTCAACTAACGCAACCGAATTGATGATTCGAAATTGAATGTGTTTTGTTACTATTTGCATGTATTACGATGTACCAACGCATACAGCGATAAACAAATGTATAATAATATGAATATTCATGATCATCGATGAACGATGGACAATCATGAAACGTAAGAGCACCACGTTTAGATATCGTACGGCCAATTGATTTGCATTTATGCGTTAAAAATTTGACTAAAAATTATACTGTACTGTTTATAAGAAACAGAGTTCATTATATAAATCGTTGTTTTATTCCTAACAATTCTATAATTGGTTTCTCTGATCGTTATTCAGTTAATTATTTTTCGTAATTAAATCATTCTAATTATATTTCTATTTAAATAAAAGTAATTTATTTTAAAAGGAAACCGTATAGAATCGTATAATTTACATCCACAAACGTTTCACAGAAGAGAAACAACTAGTTTCATCGCGAACATATGATAAAAGAATTCGTTAACGTTTTACAGTGGCTCTCCACAGGTATGCCCAAACAACGAAATGTTTTTGAAGGGCTAGACGAAGAAGAAAGGGGTGACTTCCCCTAGGAAAGGTTCGCGGACGGTAAACTAGGCGTAACCTCCCCTTAAAAAAAAAAAAAAAAATCATCTTACAAGTGTGCGAGCTGGAATCACGACGAGGGTCGAGAGGATAAAATGTGGCTGATTTATTTATCGAATCATAAATTACCAGGGTTACAATACGAGGCCGCATGCAAAAGCTCAGCTTCTCTCGGCGTTCCTATTCTCTCTCTGTTACTCACGGGTAGGACAGATCGAAAACGCGATGAGGGACCGAGGGCGTAAACGTAACGCGTGTTTGTGTTGCGTGCTCGACCGGAAACACGATTTATACGATGCAAATTAAATGTGTACCGTACACACGAGCTGGCCAACGTTATACCGACGCGAAATACCCCACCTAGAACCTACATATCGTTACTAACGTTTTCATTATACTCGAAGACTTCTTTCTTACCTCTGATAAGTAGTAAAGACGATATAACATAAAAATATTAGTATATTTATTAATTTCATTCAGTGGTATAACTAGGTAGAGACCAAGGTGGGCTTAGCCCCCAGAAAATGTGGACTCTCCCCCTCACTATTCTAAGATTCAAAAATTTGAAAATTCTAAAAATTATAACTCCTCAATTTTAATAAAGCTAACGCATCTATCACTTTGAATAGCTAACGGTAACCAAAGCATTTATCTGCATGCAAATTCGCTAGGAGTAATGGACACAATGGTCCAGCATTTATGAATGATTATCGTTAACGCTTTAAATACTTACGCGGTCAGGAGTATGGTTTCGAACCCTTTCCAAGTCAGAATACTGGATCAACTGCGATCCATTTGTAACGCGTGGCGGGGGATTCTCCACGGTCTCGTCCACATGTCCGGCAATTAGACACGCAGGATAATATCACTGCTACCCTCCTCAGTCTGCAAGCAATTATTCATTTTTTCACGTCAACAGAGTGCTTTATTCTATGATCTAGATTATTCTTCAAAATAAATGAATCCGAAATTTGTCTAAACGATTCTAAGCAATTTCAATTTACAAATCAATTCAGATCGTGTTAATACGTGTTTAGTATAAGTTAAAAAGATCGGTAAAAATTATTCTACCTGCTTGCCTCATAATAGAAGACAATTTATAACACGTTACAAGTAGAATTCCTTTTAACGCAACCTCGAACATAGCCCTGTTACCTAGCCGTGTTGTCACAACACGTTTAGGGAACGTTTTGGGGTCTAACATTTGTATACGCTCCCCTTTTTAGCCAGTTTTCATTGTACGAACGAAAACGTATCGGCAACTGACAAATGGGAGATATTAATTTTAACGTGGCTGACTTTCGCGTGGCATCCGCGTCAGTGGGATACCGTCACAAATTGTCGCGTTTTCTTCTCTTTGAAAATTCGCTAGATACACGATTTTCTAATTAAATACGAAATAGAGAAATTTCAAGAGTATCAATGGTGCAATTGATATTTAATAATTCATTAGGTCAGACTCTAATTAATTCATCCTTATTTAGTTCGATATAATTGAAAGGTTCTCACGGTAATTGTCACGTTTGATCGGAGCATTCAATCGTCGAATAGAGAAGTAAAAGTACTTGGTTTAGATCCGAGATAAGGCAGCGAAATGACACGGACGTATCAGACGGAAATACGTTCGAAAAGGTAGGGCGACATTGGGAATTGAAAAATAGTGCCTTGGGCCGCTGTCGTTCACAGTGATGGCTCCGTGACAGCCAATGTAACGCACGAATTAACGAAATAATTGATTTTCATACCGTTCGGAGTAAGCGACGCGCGCAAAAGACTGAGCGAACCAGCCGAACCGAGGAGATATTTTCTCGATTTCCTGACCCCCCAGCTGCATCCACGGTAACTGCATCGTACATAGAGTAAAATTTCGACGCTCTCGCCTTAGGCGAATTTTTCTTTACATCCGGAGATTCCGGCCGCTGTTCATTTTAATTCCATGCACTCCTATTCGCAATTGAAACGTCAACCAAACGCAAACAAAACATTTGGACAGTTTCAACAAATTCGAAAACTTTACATTAATATTAGAATTTATTGCCGAGTTTGTACCTTCGATCAGCTCCTTCTTTTAGCTTTTCCTTAGACCCTCCGTTGCTTCATTTTTTAAATAAACAAATTTACTAGTGTAAGATTCAGCCACCCACTCACTCCAGATACACATTGCACGTTCATGTTCATAAATATTACACACAGTTGCTTATAGCCAGGTAAAACGTGCTCTGATTTCTCTGAAATAATTCACAAAAGTCAAGTAAATCGGTGTGTCTCGTAAGGTTAATAGGTAGAGCGAAGGAGATTATTCGTAGCCGGGTGGATAATATAAGCTGGCGAGCATGCTGCTATATGGATGGGGGGCCGTCCGAGGAAGGAAACGAAGGAGGAAAGAGAAAGAGAGAGAGAAAACGGGGAGAGAACAGATTTATATTTGAAATTAGATTAAGCTCCTGCGCTTGAAAGCTATATAAACGCCCCTCTACCCAACAGTGCCGCGTACGTTCCGCGTTCCGCAATCCACTAAGAGGAGAGACTCAATAAACCAACCACTCATTCTTTCTTCCTTCGTCTCGCTCTCCTTTCATTCTCTGTATTTCATAGGATTCAACTCTGTTTTTCCATTTTGTTTTCTATCTTTATTTTTACCAATAAAACTACCTGGGCCCGTCTCGTCTTATTCCCTTTCCTTCCATTTCGCAAAGTGTACGATCCTCCTCGCATGATTTTTATTTTCAGCAAAGAAATACAACCATTCGTCTTGTCCTGCTTTCTGCCCATTTTATCTGCAAATCCTGTGGATAAACTCGGTATTATATATTTGAAATAGCTGTACAGAACATCAAGACATTTGTGTCTTTACTCGCGCCTTTTATTTTGACATCGATTTCATTTGGTATCTCTTTGATTATTCTTTATCTACTTGATACTATTAATTAAATAATAGTTAGGGTTCACATTATACTGTTTTACAAGCGATGTTTTAATAAAATATCCTTCACAAATTGTCAAGTAAAAAGTTTACTTTCCATAGATAAAATTTGTTAAATATTTAGTTGGCTTCACATGGGAGTTTGTAATGCGCCTGGTCCTACACCGTACCCATATCCTTGTGGCCCAAAATTTCGAACGTAACATTCTAAATAATAAAAGTAGAAAATAAATCTAAAATTTTGATATTACCTTACTGAATTGAAAGAACACTAACGTTTGCAATAAATTTCTCCGCAGTTTTCTTGGTACGTTAAGGATTCTAAGGGTTTTCTACAGCAGTAACAGCTGAAGCATATGTTGTGAAACGGTATACCGGATACAATCTTGAATGGAAATCAAGTTTGATTACAAACAAGAATAATCACCATTGTAAAGTACAACGATATTAAACTAAAACTTTTTAATTAATTTAATTATTTACCTTTAAACAAATGCACGCTTATGAAAGCTACTCGTGTTTTCCGTACACAGCATTCTGTTGCACGTTCAAACGCGAGTTAATAGAAAATTACGATTCTGAAATTATTCGAAATTACACGAATTACCTGCATTTCAGCCTGATACACTTTCCGGCCACAGCGCTGGCAATCAAGACCGCCGCCTAAACACTCGCAACCAGATTTCGGCCGGCAACATCCTCCGTCGGCACATTCTGCTCTGTCAGAACTGTAACATCTTCTACTTCTCACTCGACATACCGGACTTTTCGGCCTATATACGCCAAAAATAATTACCTTGAAAACATTTAATGATATCATAGTTATCTTACCGACAGCAACTCGTGCCACCGCCGCTTCCACAGCAGTTTCCACATTTTCGGCAACAGCAAATCGGTTGCGGAGGACAGGGTCGAGGTGAAGAACAAGGCGAACAAGGTCGACAAGGTGGTATCGCGCATTGTCTAGAGGGCAAACACGTTTGTCCAGGTTTTCCACAACCACCTCGGCAACCACTTCCACAACATCCTCCACTGCCGCAACCTGGAGATTCTACCGTGCATGGTTGACGACATCTGATAATCGGTTTTTTGCATATCGGTCGATCGGTCACCGATGGACAACAGCCACGTCTGTCGATACACGGTGACGAGCAAGCACAAGATGTAACAACAGTGCGACATGGTTCCGGTTCTCCTTAAACACAATATCACAGTTGTACTTCTTTTTAATATATTATTTTGTGAAATTATGGTTATTACTTTTAGTACAATGGCAAATAGTTTCAACGGGTTTAAGCGTTCCACATAGAATCCTTGGACGAGGGCCGCATGGTCCACCACATCCTCCTCGCATACGTTCGCTATCGTCAAGATCATTCGACGAATTCGGACCACTTTGATGAGTACACGTAATCGTTTCTTCCTTCGATGATCCATCTTTATCGTTCATTGTTCTGTACGGGTGCAACTCTGTATTACCGGCGCAACGATCTTGTCCTCGGTTCTTCTCGAGCTCATTGCATTTACTCGATGAATCTTCTTCGCCGTCGCAACAATCCGACGTGCTTTTTTCAAAATGCATTCTGCCAGTGTCTTCGGTATGATTTATTTTGACATTTTCGTATCCGCCGTGGTTCTTACCGGCCGTGTCGTCCGCTTGCCAAATGTCATAAGTATATTCCTCGTTATTATTGCAACAGGGCCTTAGATGTGCATTCTGCATTTTCATGATACAATTCTGTTCGTTTCCGCGCGTGTCCCCGAAGACGACGTCGCAGAAGGAGACTCGTCGTCGGGAAGGCAGCGGACTGCGAGGCGGCGGTACTGGCGGATACGCAAATTTTCGTCTCGACGGAATAGTGATGCTATTCCCACTAAATTCGCATACAGGATCGTATTTGTTAATTTTTTTATTCCGGCTGATAGATGTCACTCGAGTTTTGTCTGCGCTGGAAATATCTACGCTTAGAAAACTATATTTCCAGTAATTGTAACCATAGTGAAGCTTTCGAATAAATATACAAAATGTATAAATAAAGTATTCGTATAATTAATCATGAAATGCGTATCGGAATTAGACAAAAAGTTTGAAAAACTCCAAGTTATCGATATCTTACCGACGGATACTGTGTCCGATGAAAAATGGTACAAACAATAGCCTAATATATCCAATTATTTTTGTGCCTATGGCTAAATATTTCTTCAAAAATAGCTTACATACATCTGGAAGAACAGGGATACAAAAAATTCAGATAATTTTATGTACCTTAGCAGAGCCTCTGTAATGTTGACTTCATCATTACTAAACGCAGTTTTCAGCTCTGATTGATTGCTTTCTGCTTCCTGCACTTCGGATCGTTCGCGGTAATCTTTCGCGACAGCGTTATTCTTCTGGGACTCCAAAGACAGCGTACTAAATATTACAAAATTTCTAAGTTTTATAACAGTTCAACAATGTAATAGATAAATATCGAAGAGAAATAATGAACCTGCGAAGCTTGCAATGCTGCCGATTGTACCATGTAGTCACTGCAGTAGGACTAGGTGGAGGATCACAAATTGTTGTCATCGAATTGACAATACCTACATTTGCGTACTCGTTTTCTAAGAAATGTTTCTTCTCTTCGTCAAGACAAACGTTTGTCTCCTCGACTTCGCTACCACCACCGCGAAGTCTACACTTGCCGGTTTGGTAATGTTGTTCTCTGTTTAATGATGCGTTACCGATTGAGTTTTCTACCGGACAGCAATAACCATTCGATTCCTGGTTCGAAAATGTTAAGGTTCCAAGCAATTGCGATGTTCCTTTAATTTCATGATTCGTAATCGACGGAGCCAAACGAACGTAACAACTCTTGCAAAATAATTCACCGAGATAGGTCACCACGTTACAACTGTTGAGTAATTTTCGACAATTACCTACAGAGCGCAGAGAACCATAAAGTTAAACAATTATTTTACATGATTTAATGATTTACTACCAAATACCTTTTTTTGAAGAAAATTTGTGATACTCACAACAAGAAAAGCAAAATGTATGCCAAACTTTTCCAAGAGCCAATTTCTCTTCTGCGAAGTAAACCTCGCGGTTACAACGAGGACAAACTCCAGGCATTTATTAATCAACGTTGATTACTTCTTGCCGTATTCGATAGCGTATTCCATAAAAATTTTAATTTAGATTAATCGAGAGGATTTACTTAATAATTAATATCTCTTTTCTTGCGAAAGAATTTCCTTGATTATTCGCATCAAGTAAATTGTAATACTCGGGAACCTGTATACTGTAATTATACGGAATATAGTAAATTTTACATATCATTAAATGATACAATATTAAATTTCTTTAATAAAAGATAAAGAAACAATTCGCCAAAAAATATCTAAAAATATGAAACGTCAAAAATGGATCTGTGAAGAACAAAACAAAAGACAAATATTGAATAGTGTTATGAAACAGTTTCAAGATTTTTAATTTGAATTAAAGCAGTGATTATTTCGAAATAAAAAGCATCTTATTCAAAAATATTAATTATCTTTCGTAACAACACAATTAACATATCGACATGATGTTTTTAAAGGAATTTAAGTTCAATTTTGTCTAAACAATTTGAAATCTTATAATAGTTATGGAGTGATGCGTAAATGAAAAAAGTATTTTACCTACTGTAATACCCCAGCAATTAAGGACAATATTATACACAGCAATAATATTAATTAAAATTAAATATATGTATTTACCTTCTACATCTTTTCCAAAGAGAAAAATTTATGATTCATTTCACGTTGACAAACTTACGGTGTCCATGTGTCCGACGCCACTTGTAGCTAACGTCAAGTCATAGCGGAAGTGGCTCTCTGATTCAAAGAGGTTAAGGGGGCTGCTTGATAGAAATGGCAGCGATAAAAGGCCTGGGTAGAAATATCCCCTATCTGAGGCAACAATTCGCTGCCCTATTAGGAAACACTAGTACAAGTGTGAAATTCATATGCATCGTTGTCCTATTTTCTTATTGCCTTTCATTCTCCACGGAAGCAATCCGTGTTTTAAGTGTGACACCAGGTTACCTGCTGCCTCCAGTTTTTTGGATATGGACAGCATTTACCTTCTGTTTTCTCGAGATACACTTCTGGGAAGTATGTGTGGACATTGTTACAGTAGGGCTGTGCGGGAAACTGATCGAACCTCTTTGGGGTGCGATGGAAATGATGACTTTCTTCGCTATTGTTAATTTTGGCGTCGCTGTTTTGTCAGCTTTATTTTATTTATTTCTTTATATGTGTACCAATGATCCAGATTTATTATTTGATATACACATCCATGGATTGACTGGATACATCGCAGGTATACATTATGCAAAGAATAACTTTTGTTGTCAACTACCTACTGTCATTGTGTATCTGTAATATAAACATATAATGTATTCCAAGTGTAATGCATGTATGAAATAATACATAAATTCACTTAATAAATGATACTTATTTTAATTCATTTTGCAAAAACCATCTAATGAAAGCACTGTTTATATTTGGTACAGGTGTTGCTGTAGCTGTAAAACAAATAATGCCAGATCATATTTTACTTAAAACACCAATTGGAAAAATTACAAATAGAAATATACCATTAATGGTCTGGGTGATGGGAGTGATATTATGGCTTTTTGGATTATTAGAAGGTACTCATCCAACTATGTTTCTCAGCGGGTTATTGATATCATGGATATACCTCAGATTTTATCAGAAACATAATAATGGTACACGTGGTGATATGGCAGACAATTTTACATTTGCAAGGTAAATTATTTCAATTGTTTCAAGTAGTCTAAAGTTGTTGAATCATATTTTTAAACTTATAATATATCTGATTACAGTTTTTTTCCAAATGTTTTACAACCACCGATAGCAGTTGTGAGTAATACAATACATAGCTTTTTTGTACGCATTGGAATTTGTAAAAAAGTAGTCAGGAGATTTGATATGTCTAATGCTCCACCTGGTTTGATTATAAATCTTCCTGGTATTGATCCCCATGATAGTGAAAGAAGAAGGTTTGTTTTTCTTTTACACTTTTTTCTAATGAATTTCATAAATAGCATAGTATGGAATCAGAAATTCTTACCATTTTCTTGGTAATATTGAAATTACTTTCTTTTTAACATCTACTTATTAAACACAACGGTAATTTTCAGGCAAATAGCGTTAAAAGCTTTAAGTGAGAGGTTGAGTAAGGATCATACAAAACCATGGCAACCAGATCGAGCTAAGAAACATTCTCCAGTTCCTCCTGCAGTATCAATTCCAATTCCTGAATCTACTACCCCTAAACCTCTTGCATCCCCTCTCATTCCACAAGTTAGTGTTAACATACATAATCATACCTCTACTAATACGTGATTACATCAGACAGACTGATTTTACAAAGTAAATGTATAAAAATATGTTAAGAAACTTCTAAAGAAAATGTTGAAAATGGGACAACCATGTTTGTAATATGGCAACATTTAATTGGGAAAAGATTTTCGATTGTATATATGTAAAATGTGACTTCGAGGTCATCTGAAAAATTATTTTGAAGGAAAAAAACACCAAAACACTTAAATTGCATTGAGAAAACTCAGATTTGTAAATTATCATTTGTTAAATCCAAAGAACAAAGTGCAATACTCAAGCGGTGCCTTGGTGTTCATAGCTTTTAATGTATCCATCCTTGAGAGCCAATCCTTAAAAATATAAACATCGAGTTAATTTGTTCTTTGGAATTATCAAAAAAAAGCTAAAATGCTTATTTGATGTAGTTGTGATATTTTAAAGAATAAATTTTTGTCAACACTTTATTTAATTCTTAATCCCAATTAATTACGTCATATTATTAATGATACAGCATATACTCTTTAAAAGCTTCTTAAGCAATATAAAAGATATAACAGAATCGATTTTTCTAGTTTATGATGCTATTTTCCAAGAAAATCGTGTTCTTTGTTACTAAGAACTATAAACTTTATGTAATTAAATACCATCGGTGAAAAGATACATAATTTAAATGTTTTTAATAAAGATCCTAAAGGTTCTGAAATGTTGCATAAATGCAATATTGTTCCGTCTTTAATATTGTTTAGTAATAACTGGAAGAGAAATTACTAATATTAATGAAGAAAATATAGACTGGCTTCCAGTACAATATTGTAAAATAATTTTCTTAGTAACAAATTTAAATTAAAAAAAGTTTTCTATTAATACGTTCTAGAAAATATTTTTTACCATCAGAATTCCAATTAAAGATTTTATATACTGTAAAATAATACACAACACACATACAGAGTCCGGCCGAATAATATGTAAAAGAAAAAATAAGAAAAATACATAGAATAAAATTCTTTTACTTACGGGTTAGTTGCCGAATAAATCAAGTTCGAAAATCCGCTGCGACACACTTTGTTCGTACAACTTGTCATCGCGACAGCTAGACAAACACTAAACATTCGGATTATACCGTATGTTTACATTTAACGTGTCTGTTTTTATGTATTATTCGGCCGAACCCTGTATGTATTAAAATCGGATGCAAATTCTCTCATTTGAAAATTATGCATTTTTAAAGCAAAAAACTGTAAAATGTATTAAGATATATTTTTCATGTTATGCATGATTTTTGAATTATGAACATTTTATTTAGATCGAAAAACTAATTTAATTGAATTTATAAATTTCTTCTATTATGTTTACAGCAGTAATTATATCTACATGTATATCTGTATCTATGTATGATACAGATTCAGATTATGTTTCATTAATATCTATAGTTTATACAAATTTAAACTATTTATTAATACATTTAAAGCACATGTTATTAATTTATTGTCAATTTTATTTTTTAAAAGTGCACAAACACAGTTAATATAGATTTAGATGCTTCTTAGATACTGGCATTTAAAATAGTAAGTTGTACGTGATGTATTATTTCTTGTACATCTGATTTTTTTTTTTTTTTTTCATAAATATCATTTTTGTTCAACTTAAAACAATGCAAAAATTAACTGCTGTGCCACAAACCCATATTACAGTTTTTTTTGCCATGTATTAATATTTTCAAACAATTGTTGAATATCAATTATTGTAGCTTAGGTATAATTGTTTTTAAAAATATATATATATACAAAGTTGAATGGAAAATAATTCGTATAAATGTATAACAACGTGGATAATATTTGATACATCAATAGGTTGTAAATACAGGGAATGATGTAAACGTGAAGGGAGCAAGACACTATTAAGGTACAGTGATTATAGATAAATACATCGATAGAGGTGTAACAATGGAATAAGATTAAAAATTATTTTCATGTATAACACAGAAATGTCTCTTGAGAATGTATGTATATTCATATTTTGGCCTTTCACTTAAAGAATACTTTGAAACTTTTATGTACTTTTATTATAAGACTTTTAGTCAATTAACGTATATTTATTATTATAAATGTGACTAGAGCTGAAAAGTGAAAGGCCAGAATTGAGTGCGTGAATAAATGAATATTTGTTAATTTCACTAAATACATTCTAAGAATCTAATACTGTAATAATACACATTATGTACATGTTATATATAATGAGTTTTGTACATATGTTAAAATCGTTATAGTCTGTACAATATTAAATTCTACTGAAAAAATATATATTTTCAATTTTCCTATACCTGTGGCATATGGAACAAAATTCTAAAAATTAATATCTCATTAACAACATAATTTAAATAATTATATGTACATAAGCAATATTTTTATATAGATTAGGAAAAATTATTGAAAATACTCAAAAACTATACACCTAAGTATGGGAAATAAATAAATATATTTGCATAATTAAATCAGCTTTATTGCTATAGTATTGTATAAGTTTAGCCACTGAGTGCTGTAATTATAGTCCTTGAAAAGTATAAAATATTTCGAGTTTGATATTCTCTAATATTGGACAGCGTATTTTCAAAAACGATATCTATAATCATTTTTGAATGCGTATCTTTTTCCCACAACAATGTCATCACAACCGATACCACCACATAAATTTTTAATAAAAACAGTATTTTTTTTTTTTTACCTATAAAACTGTTGCTGATGTTGTGACCATTGAGTCTGTGGTGGTGGAGCTTGTTGTTGAGGAGGTGGTGGACCATACGACGGATCTTGTATATATCCTGTTGGAGACGGCCTTATTGAAGTCGGTGTTGAAGACACATACTGTTGTTGCTGAGGTGGAGGTGGTGGCACATAAGATACTTGAGCAGGATGTTGTGGTTGTGGATAATATTGTTGTGTTTGAGAAACTGGTGGTGGCACATTGTATCCTCCATAATTGACTTGAGGTGGTGGAGGAGGATAGTAATGATGACTCTGCTGTGTATGTATGTCATGTGTTGTTATAGCTGTATCTTGAATGGGCACAGTTATCAGATTTGTTCTTAATGGAGCATTATTTGGTGGAGGAGGTCCAGAGTTTTGAGTATAATTTTGCATTGATATTAAGGCCTGCGGCCTATGTTGTCTATGTTCGACCGGGGATTGATTGACCATCGAATTTACTCTAGGATCATTTCCCATTATTGGTTGAACCATATGCGATTGGACCGATTTTATGCGAGGATTCTGCATTGCAACTGATGAAACTTTAGTTAACTGTGATTCTATATCTGATTTATGCACATACTGAGGAGGATCAACCTGCATTCCTTGAACTTGTTGCGGTGGAGCCGATATATGACGATGATTTATGTGAGCCTGTATGGAAATTATATAATGTATTCATGCAATTAAGATAAATGGTAAAATTAAAAATTTAACTAAATTACCTGTAAATCTCTTTGACTAAGATATGTTCTTCTACAACCTGCATTTCCATATCTGGTTCCCCCATGTGTACACATAAATACAGTACCTAAGCCAGTTTGTTCAACTCTGGAAACTTTTTCCATACAACGAGGACAAACTTTATCTTCTCTTTTGGCACAAGATAAACAAAACACATGTTTACAAGGTATCTGAAACAAAAATATGTAAACATATTAAACAAGCTACTCTGCTTATTTTTTTGTACTTTCTTCATGTTACTCACCATGCGTCCATAAATGAGAATCGGTTTTAAACATTTGTCACAACAATGTATCATAGGATTCAATACTTTTTCTCCAATGAGATTAACTCTATGGTCCCATCTTAAACGAAGCATTGGTTCTGGAGGTCCTCTGTTAATAGTTGTGAAAGTTGGAGCTTCCAACTGTGATATATCAGCCTCCAAATCAAACTGTTGCTCCAAAGAAGGTTGCTGTGTTGGTGGAGCTTCATGTTCTTCTAATTCAGTTCCAACTCCTTCTGCTGGAGTTTCTTCTACTTGTTGAGGAGTATCTTCTTCATCACTTTCAATAATCTATTTTAATATATGGATAATTTTCAATTATATTAGTTACGAAAGGTGAATTCTAAAAGCTAAATGCATAATTAAACTCAAAACTTTGAAAAATTATCAATATTTACCTTAACCTGTTTCTTCGATCTACCTCTTGCCCTGCCTCTAGCTCTTCCACGAGCTCTACCACGAGTTCTGCCTCTCATTCTTTTACCACCATCTTCCTCCATCACTAAAATTAATTTTCATTATTTGTAAAATGAAAAGCCAATACACTTGGCACTTGCTAACAAGGTTTTATCATTTCAAAACTAATGAAAGAAATTTTTAATAATAAAACAACTACATTATAGTTTAACACATAAATTTATCAACAAAATATACTCCGCATTTTAAAATAAGTAAGGACAATTCAATTCTAAAACTCAATTTTTATACTGATACTTACTTAATGATGTAGGTTATGTTTCTGGTTATGAAAAATATAGTTCGATATCTATGATCATATTTGTAACAAAAGTATTTACTGAAACATGTGATGTATTAAAAAATAAAATACTCACAAGGATAATTAGTAGATTTCTTATTATTATAAGAACTAGTGTTCCACACTGAAGCTAATCATTTCACATACATGAATGAAGAAATGAACTGTTGCTACAACCTTCATTGTAGCAATCCATGTGACAGTGACGTATTATTGCCGTTACCTTGGAAACGAATCCACGCTATAGAAATCTCAGGGGTGTACACCTAAAAATTGTATACCTACTCGTACCTTGTTGTTACTGTAAAATGAAAATTACATGTTACATAAAAAAAATCTTTTATACCAATTTATTTTAAGACACACTAAGGAACTTAGAAATGATAAATATCTATGGTATTGCTTGTAAGCTAATACAAAATGAAATGTAATATTAAAAATTCAGATATCTTGAATATTTCTTTTATTTTATCATATTCAATCAATATGTATTGTATCTACCTAGCCATTAGTATATTTAAAAATCACAGTCTTAGTTGAAGAATTGACAGCAGAAAATACTATCTGTATCCTATCCATATAGTAAATGTTTACAATGTACATAGTTTTGTTTCTGCATACATACACACTGTATGTATCCTAAATGAATAATTATGTATAGTGTTATTTACAATAGTTTGAATTATGTTGATCTAAACTTTCCATTGGTATGCACTGTTGTGCGTAGTTGATAGTGTTATTAGCCCATTTTCCATCAACACACAATTGTTTTATCATAAATAATTGCACTCCCAAGTATGCCATAAAAACAAAACAATTTTACAATATTTTTGGTATCCTAGATTTTGTAATTTGCATAATATGCATACTTTATCATCAAACTGCATATTCCAATGCTGTAAAATAAATTATGATTTATTAGGAAGACTCAAACTAATATAATGCATAAAATATATTATAAAATTTTCAATTATATATAAAATGTGAAAATAGAATTGAAATGTCATTTAGCAAAATTTCTTTTTATAGAAATAAATTATTGCTTCAAGATATTCTTGCAGGTGTACTCCAGAAGTGTAACCAATTGTAATTTATGTATTAGTAACATACTTTATAAGATAGCAGATATGCTCTTTGATATTAGGTATTTAATATAGGAAATACCCAAAAGCATTATTTTTTACAATGATCTAAAATAAAATATATCATGAATTAAACAATTAATTACTTGATGGAAATCGGGCATTGTATAGCTTTAAAAGGCTACTCTCACTTGGCTAACTAAGGAAATAATCAATTCATATAATCAGAAATCATGTAAATTCATAGTTTGATATGAATACCTTTTTGGTTTTTTTTGAAATTGAACTGTAATGTTCATTAGATATATAGTTCATATGTACATATTCCTATTGAAAATTTGATAATAAAATATATTGTAAAAACATTTATGTTTTAACGAAGTGAGAGTATGAAAAATAGTTAGCTCAAATAGAATAGCCTGTATAATATATATAATTTAGAAATTTCTAAATAGTATATATCATGTATTTACATTAAATTTCATTATTTACATAAATGTAGAAGTACTATTACTTCTAAAAAATCTTAAATTAACCCATGATCTAAATTGGAATACTCAAACAGAAAATGTATTAATACAAGAACTACGATGCTACATAATTTCGTTTGCAGAATACAACTTGTGTATATTTGCTTGTATATTTATCATAAAATAATATTGATTTAACAATGTTATATTTGAACATGATTATTAGGTCTAACACAAAAGTAAAAAGATTAATTATTGAAGTATGTACTTGCTTCAAAAAAGAGAAGTCAAATATAGTAATATGATAGTATAAATAAAATAAAATATACAAGTTGTATTCTGTAAAACAATCACTATAACTTGTACTATAAACAAGAAATGTTTCTTTGTATATTTTTTGCTTAATTCATAAACAAATAAATTTAGAAAAATATTTTATGTTAAACGAATAAAATCCTCTAGCTCTTTTCATACACGACACTAATATAATGTCTTTTATCTAATCATTGCAATAGAGTAGTAAGAATATGTTTCAACCTAATTACAATTTCATTTTATGATAACTAGTCATTACTATAGATGTTCACATATTATTTTTAGAATACGAACAGTAAAAAATACCTTTCGTATTTAACAGTATAAAAGCAACTCAACTCTTTGGTTACACAAGGAGAGCTAGGTTGCATACTTTCCTTTTTAAATGATTTAAAAATGCTTTATAAGCATATCAAGAGGAAAGTATACTTCTCCTACGCCGATTTGTTTTAGTTTTTAAAAATTAATAAAATCGTTGATTATGATATTAAGCAAATATCATTCGCTTATAAATTGCAGTAAACGCAATATATGATTTTTAAAAAAGAAAGATATACAATCGTAACTCAGTCTATGTAGTTTTTCAACTACAAACCACAATAAAGTATTTGCACTATATAAAAGATTATGTATATACTTCTAACTATCAAATTATCCAACAAAATGATATTTGTACCAGAAACAAGAGGGCAATTCTTCCAGTTCCAATAACATAAAAGAAAAAGGTTGCGATCTTTATAAAACGAATATTTACAAACATGGAATATGTATTAGGAAATTAAAACCGTTTAATAATAAAATAAACGTAGTAAAATCGATATAAAATATTTCCGTCGTTTTAGAAATACACGGATTATGAACTGTTTTCATTTTGCCATCTAATTCGGTACAAAAAATGTTTTTCTTTTTACCTAAGCTAAAAAAGGGCACCTGCTGATGATTTAAACAGTAGAATATGAATTTACTACCTATGAACTTCTAACATGAAGACAAACATTCTACAAAAAGGAATGGTGTGTGATGTACATTAACAATTAAACTTTTATGAAAATCGTCTTGTTTTGTTAATACTTAGATCGTTTAAAAACAGCAAAACACTGTGTTTTGCTTACGTAAAAGTATACATATTTTGTATATCTTTTAAAGTCTTAATACCAAGACTTTAAGAGATTAATATAACGTTTCCTTTTCTAACTTTATATTATGCATAAGTTAATGTGAATTCTTTTCTTTTTTAATCAAAACAAAAAAGAAAAAAAAAGAACATTCAGAAGTGAAGCACACTGAATTTTATATATATGAATGTATTAATATAAAGAATGGTATGCTTCAAGTACTGCTCGTACGTATGCAACATGCATGTGCAATACTGTAATGAGTGGTGTGTGGCACCAGGAATGTAACGTAACATATAAGAAAAACATTATATTATATGCTGGTTGTCGTCAAACGGTAATGCACGAGATCAGCTGTTGACAAAGTTGACTGTATTGTAATTGGTCCCCACTAATTCTTCGCATTTTAATGCCTTTTACTTCCTTTTCTTCGGATTCACATACTCTAAGTTCGATCTGAACACCACCGGGGTATTCTAAACTAAGCCCACTACCTTTCACTTCTTCTCTAGAGAAGATAAATCCTTTTGGAGGGGCTCTTGCATCTATTATTTGTTTTACACGACCTAATATAGTTTCAGAATTCAACCTACTCGATTCATCTGATAATGTAACTTCAACTTCCGTAGGTATTGATGTATTCAATGGCCTACCAATACCACGCGTGATGCTGGGCCTCGACGAATCGCACGGTTCGGAGATCATGAAACTGGGAAGTGGACTATAATGAGGTAACGTGTCTTCGAGTGAGTCAGGGGATGGAGATGGCGAAGGTGAACAACTGATAAGTGTTACTTGTCCCCCAAGATCTGTTACGGATATCTGAGGCGGTACCTGTAACAACGAATCATAGTATCATAATTATTGTCATAAAAATGTTTATGCTTCGCACAGCATTATTACTTACTCTTGATATTTCTACAGGATGTTCTTCTTGAATCATATCTAAAGCTGGACTATTACTAGGTGAATAACTAACTGGTGTAGTAGCTGGTGATCTATGATGTCTTAGTGGACTCAAATCTAATGGTGTTGCTGGTGGCTGTGTCGGGGTACCATGGACTATACTGCCCTGAACTGCTGTCGTTAATCCACTTAATCCTATCATCAAGATTAATTATGTATATGAAAAATAATTACGTATATGAAAGTAGTTAAGTTGTTATAACACAAGTACCTTGTATGATTGAGGCTATTCCTCTTTCATGCACAGGAGATCCAGGAATACTCGCAGGGCTATGCGACGGAGATGCTAACCTCTGCAACTGTTGGTATTCTTGTTGAAGTGCCTGAATCCCAGGTCCAGGTGGGCCGGAACCTTCCGATGCTCTCCGAACAGGTGAGTATCGTTCTGTAGAAACGTGAGTACTTGGTTCTTTGTATGAATCTCTATTTCCTACTGGAAACAATGGAATATAAATTACTTAATTACTGAATTTGTGCGAATCACACTTGTATATGTATTATACATAAACATACAATGAATGTGTATTACTTATAATTCTGCTATTGATACAAAAGGCAAAATACCACACAAAAATTACCAGTGCTAGTATGATACAAGGAAGTCTTCCTATGGTGCGGAAGTGTTGATCCTCTAAGGTGAGTTGGTAAGAGCCGTGATGGAAGATAAGCTCTATTCATCCTAGCTTCCACCTCCATTACCATTTCCGGATTTATAACTACATGCATATTACCAACCAACGGGCACGGCAGTGCAGTGGACACAAAAAACCATGCAAAATCAAAAATAAAATGAAATGAAACACTATAATTAATGCTAAAAAAATTAAAGGGTATTAAAAAAAACATTGAAAATATAATGCATCTGTGTACTCTATCAAAATATAAAACATAATTAAAATATAACTGTTTAGAATATAACATATAATAAATTAATAGTAAACATTGATAATTGTACTTGTTTTTAAGATAAGAATAATTTTATTTTGTATAAAATGGAAACAATAATCATGCATTATCAAAGAAAAAATATCAATGTGCATATGCTGCAATAGCAAAAAAATTATAAACAAAGCATAATAATCATACTTACAGCTTTAAAAACGAAGAAATATAGCAAGCTTTTATATTAATCGATATAGCAAATCATAATAATTGGGTCTCACTGAGGTAACGTGAAATATATGTTATAATAAAGTGCATTGATAATGTGCACACGAATACCTGAAAGGTATAATCCACAGTACCTGGTCTTTGCATGACGGCAGTAAGACCACTTCGTCTTCTTCTATCACTACCTCCACTCCCACTTCCACTGTTATTGCCATTCGCATCTCCATTTCCACTGTTAACTCCTACATTTAATGACTGAGCACATGGTACAAGCGTTGGACTCCCACTTTGTATCTGAAAAACGTACAATAAACTTACAATATAATAAAATTATGGAAAACTGATTATGATATAAAATTCTAATCATTTCTTACAGGTTGTAGATGTTCTCTACTTCCAGGTTGACTCCACCCACCATCTTCACCACTAGAATTACTGCCATGTTGTTGATAAAAGACATGAAGATTAGCCCCACCATCCGAAGCTCTTCTTCCAAAACCTCCGGCTACAATGAATCCGATATTTATTTCAAACCAATATCATCAAAGGTATTGAAATGTGGAATAATGTTATATTACTTACTTGCTCCCATAACAGGAGGTGGTTTTAATAAATGTTGATCTTTGATTTGAAAGTTTTGAGGTGGTTGATGTTGCACTAAAGGAAGGTTTAATGCCAGATTTGTATGAGGTAACACCTGAGGATCAGTGTTATTACACTGTAGCATAGGAAGGAGCCGTAACGCTGGATCGCCTGATGTATGATTATAGTTGTACGGATATTGTGTTGGTGGCTGATGTGCTGTATCACCAGGTCCAACTGTATGTCTTCTTGTTGTGTGATAAGGTGTGCCAGGTGAAAGTTGCATTCCACTTCTTTCCTCTGTTTCTGCTTCTGTATCGCCGAACTTTTCCGAAGAAAACCAAAAGAACAGTTTAGAAATATAATTCAATATACAATAGCACGTAATCAAATACTCACTTTTTCTAACTGATGTGCTCCATCAGGAGCATAATCTCCCGGTATACTTTGTATACTCGGTAAACTAGGCATTGTTGGTTCTAATCGATCAACAAGAAGATTATATATTGCTGATACATGATCAAAAGCATTTCCTTGAACTGCATTTAATAATGTTTCCGCTGTAAGTCCAGGTAATGTTAACATATTATCTATTACTATCTGATTTAACTGCGGTGGCACATTTTCGGGGCTACACCTAGGAATATACAATTAAACAATAACACAGTGTGACATTTTTAATCGTTCTGTAAATGTAATAAGTGTCATTGTTTATATACCCTCCTGGCTCAGGTTCTGTTACACCATCTCCACCCATCCAAGAATGTGCTAAGATTTGTGAGATACTTAAACGCCGTTCTGGTTCTACCACTAACATATGTCTAATCAGCTTTTCGCATTCTGCAAAAACATACATATATTGTTAAAATGTACATAAAATAGAATATAATGAAACAAATTAGTATTACACAAGATATATTGTACCTGCAGACATAAAAAATGGTATTCTGAATTTCCCTGAGATTACTACAGAGCGTAGTAGCTGCATTGTGGGTCCATCAAATGGCAATGCACCACAAACCAATACATATAAGACAACACCAAGGCTCTAAAACCAATTAATTAGGATTATTCATCAGTATTATGATCAATACTGTTACCTGAAAATTATTCAAGCAATATCATAAAAAAATGTTTTCAAAAATAATGACGTACCCATACATCAGCCCTTGGGCCATCGTAATGCTTTCCTTCAAAGATTTCTGGAGCAGCATACGGAGGTGACCCACACCAAGTGCTAAGTGGAACACCTGGAGTATATTCATTACTAAATCCAAAATCTGCAAGTTTTATATTATTGTCTGCATCAAGTAGTAAATTCTCAGCCTAGAATAATAATATATACGATCATGTAGTATCCAGAAATAATATAGTTTATGGTTAAGAAAAGGAGTATGTGTTTAAACCTTAAGATCTCGATGAACAACCCTTTGATGATGAAGATAACGAACAGCAAGAACAATCTGACGAAAAATTCTTCTTGCTTCTGGTTCTGGCATTCTTCCATTTCTTACTAGATGATCAAATATCTCTCCGCCAGGAGCATATTCAGTAACTAAATATATCATCTTTTCTGTTTCCATTACTTGATATAATCTTATAATATGTGGATGTCTTAATCGTTTCATTATATGTACTTCACGAAAAATTTTAGCCAAATTCTCTTCATTTAACTTTGTTTTATCTATAATTTTAATAGCAACCTACAAAAGATGCGTATATAAATATATATAAAATTTGTTTAAAACTTTATAATCATACCATAAACACAGTTTAAATTATGTTACTAAGAAATGAGAACATTATATCAAGTATCATAACATTTAAATTAATCTTTATGCAAAAACAAAAATATATATATATAAAGAGAAAAAATCGAACAAAATTCATATAAACTAAAAAAAAATGTTAAATTGAAAAATTTCCATATACATTAAAGGATAATATTTTTATTTTGTTTTCGTAATAGTATTCGGTACATAACTATTTGTAATGATTTGAAAAACATCGCAGAAACATATTTCAATCGATTTAGTAGTGTTTGTTAGTAATATCGGTTCGTAAACTATTATTCAAAATTATTCATTCTTTTCATATCGTGACACGTTACCATTACATAGAAATCCTTTGAAAAGCACGAAATATGATGAAATTTATATTATCACGTAGTTATTCAAAAATATAACGACAAAATGACGGATTCCGTGTTTGTAAGAAAAAGATCTTAACAATAAGCTTACCTTAGATTTAGTTACAACATGGGTAGCCATTTTAACAACAGCAAAATTTCCCTTGCCAATAGTTTTTTCCAATTCGTAATAACCGACACGAATAAGTTTATTGACAGAAAATTCCTGTGAAACCTCATTGTGCGACGTCGTCGCGGATGCCATTTTTCAATCACTTGTCTCACTCAACTCGTTACCAATCACTTACTGCTTAGTACAATGATATTTCCACCAGAGGTGCCACAAGTCATCGATACTTCTGCCATCTAGCAAAATAATGCAAATTAAAAAATCAAGAGACGATATGTATGTATATTTTATTTGATTATATGTCATGCACCATCTGTTCAAACACGTATTTGTTTTAAAAATTAATTTATATACATTTAAGTTCATGGGTATTTTCCAAAAATTCATAGATTACACGCAGTCATCCTTGGTCTGTATCCACATTAATACATTTTAATGTTATGTTTTCTTAAATAAATTAGTACTGTCCTTTAAAAATTGTTAAATTTTAATTAATATTCTAAATGTAACTGAGATATATTAAATGTTAATTACATTTTTAAATAGATTTTTTGTAAGTTAATCAGTAAATAACTTTTTCTATGGTTGTAACAGTGGGTTGCTGATATAGCATTGCTATAACCATAGCATTCACCGCGAAAATTGCTACGTAGACGAAAACAGATTGTTAAGCATGAATAAAAAACGGATTTTTAACTAAAATATAGTATTTTAAAAAGTTGAATTACTATAAAAAATAATATAATTAATTATTTAATTATATATTCCAATGTAAAAATATCAATTCGATGAGGCAATATTTTTGTTTATTAAAAAAAATACATCTTAAAAAATGGAAGAAAGTTCGGTTTTGTGGATGCTTTCACTTGTAATGCTAATTGGTTCCTGCATAGCTGGATCTTTACCATTAGTTATGAATTTATCTGAGGTAATATTTTCATTAAGTTTGATGGTAGATGAAAAGACAACACTTCTTTTATCTATCATTTTCTGTGATTGTCATGTACTTGAACTACTGGTTACAGATTCTACAAAGAACTCCATGATCATGAACATCATGAACCTTTAATCTTTCTAGGATAAATTACAACTGGTATCGATACTTGGTGCTGGACTTCTTGTAGGCACTGCGCTAGCTGTTATTATACCTGAAGGTATAAGAGCATTGTTTACTGGTGGAAGCAACAGTGACCAAGGATTTCATAGTTAGTATTTTAAAGTAATTTAATTAAATTTTATAATGGTAATTTGTTATAATCAATGGTACAAACATATTTCATTTCTTTGATATAATTTGTACAGCTGCTTCAAATATTTAAATCTTTTATTTCTAATGTAGTCTAATTTGAATATAATTTATCATTCTTGATCTTTATTTTTAGATGACCCTCACTCCTTAATAGGTATTAGTTTAATACTTGGTTTTGTATTTATGCTTCTGGTTGATCAGTGTTCAGCTAGAAGAAGCGGTGGAAGAGAAAAAAGTGTTACCGCTACTTTAGGTCTTGTAGTTCATGCAGCAGCTGATGGAGTAGCATTAGGGGCTGCTGCAACTACATCACAAGCTGATGTAGAGTTAATTGTTTTTTTAGCAATAATGTTGCATAAGGTAACCAATTAAATTTGTGTATTGTTCACAAAAAGAAAATGTAGTAACAGATCATAGTAGGTACTAAATGAGTGAACAATTTTTCATAGGCACCTGCTGCATTTGGTCTTGTATCATTCTTACTACACGAGGGAGTTGATAGAAAGAAAATAGGTAGACATCTTTTAGTATTCTCTTTTGCTGCACCTTGTCTTGCTCTTCTGACATATTTTGGTATTGGAAAGGTAAATTGCTTTGGTTTTAAATAATTAAATATTTAAAATATTAAATATACTATTATAAAATTGTTGCTTTTTAGGAGGGAAAAGAAACACTTAGTAATGTCAATGCCACTGGCTTGGCAATGTTGTTTAGTGCAGGTACATTCCTATATGTTTCAACTGTACATGTATTACCAGAATTAATGACAAGAAATAACAACACATATGCACATCTACCCTCTGCTGAAAATGTTGCAGTGTCTTCTGGACTTAAAGTTAAGGAAATATTAGTTTTAGTGATGGGGTCATTTCTACCTGCATTAATTACTACGGGTCACCATCATTGATAACATGTCATACAAAAATACATCTGTCTTTTCATTATATGTAACATAAAATGACCCTTTGATTAGAGGGTATGATTTTTTAATGCATTCCATGATTTTTATGTAAAATCATGAAGTGACATCTGGATGTTTGGTCAGTTCAAACACATGTTTCAGAAGATATACTTTCATGTATTGTACATAATTGTAGAAAGGGCATATCATAATTATTATACATTTGTATAAATTTGATGAGAATGGAATAGGATACAAAATTATGTAAAATAACAAACATTTTGAGTAAGGTTTTATTTTACAATGAAATTTCATAATTATTATTTATTAGTAAATGAAATTTTTGATACAAACAATAAATCAAATATCTTTCTTTGCATGTTGTTCCATTATTTTAGTATATATTTTCAAAAACACATCTTAAGATACTTTTCATATTGTAATTTAACACTACTAATTAACCAACTAATTTATTCTAAATAAAGCTGCATGATGGTAAAATCATTTTTATAAAAGACACATGATGTATTATAAATTCAAGTAAAAATAAGTATAAAATAATAACTATTATTTACATTGCGTATACATTATATGTTTTTGATCAATTTTCAATAAAAATCATTTTATATACATGTATACATACAAATATACATTATGTATGAACATTTTTTTTAACAATATGAAAATACTATGAATAATATCCTCCTATGCACATAGCTAGTATTCATTACAAAAGGAAATTACAAAGTAATTGTTACAGGATACACAAAATGTTATATTTATAATGTTAAAAGATGATTTATTTAAATATGACATTACCGACTTAATATTTTTTTTTTTTTTTTAGTTTTCAGTTAGATAAGCATAATACTTTCAAATTTAAGCGCTAGTATAGTCAGTACATGTGTTCCGGAACTAGGCTGATGATCGTATCCTTTGTTATCACAAGCCGTGGTGGCATACACAGCTGTAATTCACAACAATGGTGGTGCCGGTCGTGTTTTAGGTTAAAATTGTGTGGTTTTCAGTGATTTTAGTCCGATTAGCATTGTGAAAAATGGACAATAGGATTACAATATGTGACCCGGACGAAGAAGAAGAAATCGACAATGAAATATTTCGAGATATTGAGCCAGTCACGTGGATCAATGATGATCCAAACTATGATTTGGATGAAATCAACATGTTCTTCCATAGGGTGGATTCAGATCAAATTATATACGAAGAGAAAAAGAAAAAATGTAAATTTATTGGTAAATATGTTATGGGTGATGTTCTTGGTGAAGGTAGTTACGGAAAGGTGAAAGAAGTGCTGGACTCAGAGACACTTTGTCGAAGAGCCGTGAAAATTTTAAAAAAGAAGAAACTTCGTAGAATCCCAAACGGAGAGCTTAACGTTCAACGGTATGATAAATAAATGTTAATATCTTTTTAGATGTTTCCATTTTTATAATAAAATCCATCAGAATATAGTGATACGCAAGCACACATAACACTCACGTGTATATATGTTTGTTAAATTTTGTGAATGCAATATCAGATATCTAGCACTGCATTAAATTATTACTATTATTACTACATTAATTTGTTACTTAGTATTTGTATTAGCATAACGAAAATAAGAAACATATATGAAATTAAAGCAATGAATACAATGTAAACATCTACAGAATTGAACAAATGTTTCAATATAAATCTCATATGTAAATTATGTTATCATTTTCTTGTGAAAGAAGTACATTGTTATGTAAAAATAATGTATGCTTTTTCTTTTTAAATATGTATGTAATTACTTTCTATAATTCTAAATATTATTTGTTCGCATTCATTAACAGGGAGATAAAACTATTAAGGATATTAAAACATAAGAATGTAATTAACCTTGTAGATGTTTTATATAATGATGAAAAGGAGAAGATGTACCTAGTTATGGAATTTTGTGTATGTGGATTACAGGTAAAGTTTAAAAGCTTTATATGGTTCATTTTTGAATGTGTTGCACACATGTCTGTATAAATTGATACTTTAGTGTATTTGAAATTTCAGATATAATTTATATGAATATCAGATGTTTGTAAAAGTTTATAAAGATTTGCTAATAGTATTTGCTATGCACTATAATAATATCTAAAACTTGCTCATGTGATATATTAATAAAAATAAAAAGAAAGTCATTTTTTAAGATATTTGTATATATTTAAACAATATAAAGAAATGAGTACCTTTTGTTAATTTTATTGAAAATTGTTATTTGAAAAAATCTTGTTTTATGCCAATATCACATATAATGAAAAGCTGCATGGAATTTACAACAATTAGATTTCTATTTATTAGATTTTTTTTAGGATATGCTAGGAAGCACACCCCTTAAGAAGCTTCCAATTTGGCAAGCACATGACTATTTCTGTCAGTTGTTGGATGGTTTAGAATACCTTTATAGTAAAGGAATAGTACACAAAGACATAAAGCCAGGAAATTTGTTATTAGCTTTAGATGGTACTTTGAAGATTAGTGATTTTGGTGTTGCAGAGGTATATATTTACTTTGTACATATATTATCATTAGCAAAACAAATTATACTAAATTCATATATCTTTGTTAGGCATTAGACATGTTTTCTGAAGATGATACGTGTAAAATGGGACAAGGTTCACCAGCATTTCAACCTCCTGAAATTGCAAATGGCTGTGAAACATTTTCTGGTTTTAAAGTAGATATATGGAGCAGTGGAGTTACATTGTAAGTATTGTATATTCATATAAAATTTAAATTGTAAATTCTCCAGTCCTTCATTGGTTAAATTATAAATATTTTCTGTAGGTACAATATAACCACAGGTCAATACCCTTTTCAAGGCGATAATATTTATAAATTATACGAAAATATAGGAAAAGGTGAATATACAATACCTGAAGAGGTAGAAGAGCCTTTAAGATCTCTTATACAAGGAATGTTACAAAAAGATTCAGATAAAAGATTTAGTTTACAAGAAATTAAAAATCATCCATGGACTATATGCAGGTATCCTAGAACAGAAGAAGAAGTGCCTATACCTCCCCTTAAAGGACACAAATGGCACAGTATGACTGTATTACCGTACCTGATGGAATATCATTATGGAGGTGATGACAATCCAATATATTACACTGAACACCAATTGAATGGTAAGCTTTTTATATATTTGGATGTTACATCATGCACCGTGTTTCTATATTTGTGTATTAAAGTTTAAGTTGTTAAGTTATCATAGTATATAATATCAATGTATAAATATTAATTAATATATTTATAACTAACACAAAGGTAAGATATGTATTGAAACCTGCATGTATGGAAAGACATAAAAAAAAATGCGATATGTATTAAATTGCATAGATGGCATTTGTGGAATAAATTACTAATTAAAACAATACTTAGTAGAAACATTCTGTGATTGTGTTTTAATGAAATGAATATAATACTTGCATGTATTTGTGAAGTGGAATGTATGTTGCATTATCTCATTTTTTTTCTTTTAACATTGAATTGAAAAAGACCTAATTTCATAATATCCATTGCAAAAGAGAAATATTACTAAAGGGAAAATACGTTTGTGCAAATTTCAATCATACTGAAGTAAAAGTACGTACATTTCAGTAAAATAAAGCTTTTGCTTTTCAGATTCTAAACGGAATACTGAACAATCTTTTTCAAATCGTCTGCTAGTATTCTTATCAAAGACATGCACCATTCTGTAACAATGACATGTTTATATCTACCTATGATGTTGTGAGCTGATAAAAACGGGTACTCTCTATATAGTGTATACCCTGCTTTGCCCATATGTACTTTGTAACACTTAAAACCTTACGTAAATCATACATTCGCTTGATATCTTTAAGCAAAAGCGTTCATTTTAATAATCCTATATATTAACTTTTGCAATGTCCTATATGTAGTAGTATTACAATCATTGCAAAAAATTATTTGTTTTCTATATTGTACATTAAGCACGGTTAACATATCATTAAAAAGCTAAACAGGAATGAACCCTTGTAATAAAAGTACATGAACAGTTACTAATTAGGTTCTTCTTTTTATTTAGAAGAAAAAAGGCTTCAAGAAATAGACAGAATCAGTGAAGACCAAAAAGCTACATGGAATAGTCACAACAAACCTAATTCACATCAAAGTAAACGAAGATGGCGTAAACCGATTTCATGTATTAACGTTAAGAAATTTCCATCTTGTAAGCCATCGTGATTTGACACATTGTCATGCTTATTTTTTTATTACATATTTTCCTGACTATGTCAGATGCAAAGTTTCTCTGCAGTGGAGATGACTGAGAATTTAATAAGTGCTGAAGTGCTAGGATAGATACCTAGCTGCAGCTTGAATTGAATATGAAATTTAAACTAATTCGAAAACATTAAATGTCAACATTTGTGATATTAATATTAAATAGTCATAGTAGATAATTCATCATGCTCTGTTAATTATGAGGTTAACGACTCGACGCCCAAATAAAGTAATTTTCTTTCATGTGCCATAATGCAGTTACAATTATTAATATCTATTGTTAAAGATCTTTTTTGTATAATCTTTTTTCCTTTTTTGTTGACCTGAATGATAAAAAATCAATTAAAAATACACTACATGAACTTTTAAAATTAGTTTCAATATCATTCTTATCTTGATTTGATACTTTATTAAATTCGTAATATTAGTGGATTCAAGATATATCATCTTAAATTTAATGTGCATAGTACTTTTTATTAATTTCACTGTTGTTAAACACAAACATTTGTCTTGTTTTTATTCTTCATTAAAAACAAGAACTTGTATTTATTAAATTCGTTTGCGTATTATATTAACAAACTATTTGTAACATACAAATTCAACAGTCAGTGTTATAATGGAGGATAAAATATAAATTATTTGATCATAACAAATAATACTTGGTGCTGGTGAATACCAAATGCGTTTCACAAATACCATTTTTGGTTGATATTGAAAATTTTCCTCCAATATATGTACATGTTAAAAATATTTTATATATAAATTGTTATTTAGAAAATATGATCTGTGTTTGTAGACTCTATGTATATTATAATATTATCATTGCGAAATGACTTATAAACACTTAATGCAATACTTGTAATGACTTAATATATGACAGATATTAATTCTCTTATGATGAAAGAGTATAAAGGATTGTTTCAGATGCATACTTAGATATTATTGAAGCGTACTTGAATATTATTAGATCTAAAAATGATATTGTTACTTTATGTCTGCTTTTAAAACTTTAAGTATTTCAAAATTGTGCTTTAATATTATATAAAATAATGTCAATGTTGTGTGGTCAATATGACGTATATTATTAATACCTTTGTACATAATCACGTACATACACATATTTCAACTATGAATTGTAAATTTAACATGTAAAAAATACACGTTCGATCAATTTGTTTGGAGGAAACATGTATTACATGCAGAATACGCTTCAGCAGTAAAACAATTAATTTCACAAAAGAAATGTTTGAATGGATAAAGAAATAACGAAAGTTTTTTGTGATAAGAGTAAGAATCATGCTTTCTGTCATATCAACATGATTTTAGATATTTTTATTTTGATTATACCATTTATACAGAAATAAAATCGTAATGAAATGTTATAATATAAATATAAAAAATATAAATATAAATTATTTTTCTTTGAAAAAATTATGGTGCCTAAATACTGCCAGTACTAAAAGCACACGAGAAGTAGTCAAACCTTTTCTGATTGTATATATTATACATACATACATTATTTTTATCGTGGTATCAACTGTTAAACAAAACATGTGTAATAATTTTATAATGAAATAGAAGAAGTACATCGATGAAAACTAAGAAAATTTTTATACTACTTTGTTAATGTTCTTATTTATCATATTTTTCGAACTTGAAAAACTGGTAATAGGTTTGAAACCAGAAACACATATACAATAAATATATGTGCATTATTTTTGCATACCGATAATGTGTTATACTTTCTAACATCTTTTTCCTGATTAATTATAAAATTAATATTCAATTTTTAGTTACTTAAATTGTAAATCTGTACATCAGTAAGAGGGAGATCATGAAAATAATTGGAACTAAAGAAGATCATACAGCACAGTCTCGATTAGTAATTATAATTAAATAAGACTCATTGTTTCATATTTTTATTGTAATCATAAATATAAATTAGTAAACGAACAAAAGAATGAAACATTGTTTCTAGAAAGATTAAAGTTTATCATTACAAAATACTGTATATTTTTTACTTAATATTTGAAAGCTATTATTTCATATATAGAGAAAGAATTGTACATCATAAATAAGCGTAAATTGTAATTTAAAGATGTAATATAGCAATGTTCATGTAAAAATTATGAAAACAAAATACGAATTGTAAATAATTTATGTATGTACGTTATTACCTTTAGTAAACAGTATATTTGAATTTAAAGATTGTAGGAAATAATTGTGCTGTTTTATTTAATATTTACACGCATTACACGTGTTTTTAAGTTTATTACGTTAGCATATCAATACATACATGTTTCATAAACACAAAGATATTCATATTACAGTATTTATCCTGCATAACAATACATTTAATGTGATATACAGATTTTTTCTTAGAGATTTTAATTTTATGTACATACAATAAATCAAACATAACTGTTCAATAGTACATATATAAACTGCCATAAAATAAAATATTTAAACAATCTATTTAAAAGACTAAACAAATAACACATGTTTGCACATTTATTCAGAATTAAAATATTTTTCATTTATCTTTAGTTAAAGGTAAGCAAAATGTATATTTTTTAACAAAACATTAATGATAAAATAAATATATATTATGTAGTTGGAATGGTTTTACAATAACATTGTTCAAAAATACCTAGAATAGGTATTAGTGATATTGTCATTAAAAACATTAAACGACCGAAATACATATATACATTTACAACGAGATTGCAATAAAATTTGTAAGTAGGGCTAGACACACAGTAGACAATTATGTATTGTATAGATATACATTACATACAAACGGAGGCATAAAGATGCATGTTTATGCTACATATAATAACTTCTGCTAACTAAATATCTATTACTATGAAACGAGTAGAAAGATTGTTGTCGATATGGAATAAACTTACTTTACTGTAGAATATAATAACAGATACATAAACTAAATTAAAGGAAGCCATTTTCCACAGTTTGTAGAAATAATTTCAACTTTATGTAGACAACAATGTATGATATCTATTTCTTGTATAGTATTGCTTTAAATATAGTCTATGTTTGCAAAGCTTTCATAGCAAAACAAATGATTTCTAGTTTATGTAAAAATATATTGTAAATATTTACTGTTATTACCACCTAACAGAAATTTAAATTTTCTGACTATTATAATTGCTCTTTTTTACATTTTGTTTGTACATTTTTCATACAATTTTTGTTAAACTCATCAAGTTTTTCTCAATATTTCAAGTATATAACAAATGATCACCTAAAACTATATAACAGATTATCGTATAATCAAAAGAATTATAAATACTGTATATTTGGTAAAGTTATAAAAAACAACTAGAAATGCAATTTTTCAAAAAATCTAACGTAATGTTGATAAATAATTTAAATGCTTCGCTTATGTTTTTGTATGACACCGTACATGGAGTAGTTTACAGCAACAATTCTATTTCATCGTTTTAAAACTGATTTATATTTAATATGCAAATCAGTTTGTTACTTGTGTACTATGTATTATTGTTAAGTAAACGACATCTACTTCATTTCTACATAAATAATTACATTTTTTAACACTTACTACTCAAGTCCACCCTCTTCCTCCAACTTTGAGAGGAATTTCGGAACTCTATAATTTGGTTCTACTTGTCGTGCCATATCTATTAAACACAATAACTTCTTTATACCGATGAATACTCTGTAACAAAAAAAAGCACGCATTATATATCTATGTACTTATGTAAGAATTCATGTTTTCAATGTGTAAACAAAAAAAAAAAAAATATATAATGATCGAATGGAGTAACCTCATGCTTTCTCGAGGTCGCTTAAAAATATACCGTTTTCCTTGAAGTTTGGCATGCAAGGATGCTATTTCCTCTTTAGTAAAGAGTTCTACTTCTTCCAGAACGCTCAACAAATGATCAGGAGTTGACAAATTAGGTACATGAAGAGTTGTACTAAATGCTGATAACATTTCCATATCATCCAAAACTTGCCTACAAAAAATATGTATTAGTTACGCTTATTGTAACTTTACTTCAATCTTAAGCGATTATTATGTTGATCATCATGTATTTTACCTGCGGCTCGTTGTACAAAGTATTAATAATTTACGACCACGAGGTGGCTGCTTCTTCAATAAAACTAAAAGCGCCTGCAAGGTCAAGTTGGAATACCTTGGTCCTATAGGACCATAATCCAGCAAACGTTCAATATTATCGACTAAAATGCAACTAAGTTGTGAACGATATGCATCATCGAATATCTGAAAAGAAAAATAAATTGAATATATTCTATTTCTGTTAAAAGAAAATTTTATGTATAAAATAATATATTACCTTTCTGATTGACAGACATTTGGCAGATTCTGTGAAACCAACCATATCTTCTGGTGTACATACTTTAACGAATGGAAAGTCAGAATTCTTAGCGATTTGAGCAGCAAGAGCTGTCTTTCCGCTGTTCGGCGGTCCTTCCAAGAGAACTGATACAAGACCAGAACCTTCGGTAGAGCGGGCTTCCTGAATATATAAATTACCATCAGATAAAATTTCTGCTACAGGTTTGCCCCAATTAATTATTCCGCGTATAAGAAGTTGATCCAAAGATTCTGCGCTTGTACCAAATGCCTAAAATAGAAATTTAATTACATAATCGTTAAATTAAAGTTAATGTAGTCGTAATATTTTAAGTTCGTTTTAAATTTCTTACAGGTTTAATGTCATTTTCCAAAGCATGAAGAAAATCAGTTCTAGAAACCATAAGTTTCTCCATTGCAGCAGGATCTACCTCTACTTTACTAGAGGCTTTGATTAATCTATTCATTGCAGTACTTTGGGCAGCTCTAACTAAACCTTCTAATTCTGCACCACTGAAATTTTTAGTTAATGTAGCTAATTCATTCAAATCAACATCGGGTGATATTTTCTTGTAATCCCTCATTCTACATGTATGAATATTGAGGATTTGGAATCTACCATGTTCATCTGGTAAACTTATTTCCATTTGCACCTTTAAACGTGTAAAAATTTTATTAAATATTTCTTTAATTTAAATAATATATATGTTTTGTAGTGTGCTATTTAAAAAAATACCTCTAATCTACCAGGTCGTAACAAGGCTTCATCAATCATATCTCTTCTGTTAGTCATTCCAATTACAAGAATGTTATTTAATTGTTCCACACCATCAATTTTTGCAAGAAGTTGATTAACAACTGTATCGTGTACTCCTGTATTTCCAGCGACACTACCTCGAGACTTACAAATGGCATCAATTTCGTCAAAGATAATTATGTGCAATCCACTGTTTGGTCCAAGCTAAAAATTAAATCATTACAATAAGTTAATGTTATCTTTATACAAAGATTAAGTGAGAGATAATTATATTATTATACCCTTTTTTCTTCATCTTCAGCATCAGCAAATAACCTTCTAATATTAGCTTCACTTTCTCCAACATATTTATCCAAAATTTGAGGGCCATTGACGATTTTAGGTTCTCTAGCGTTTAACATAGTTCCTATTTGTCGCGCCATTAATGTTTTACCTGTACCTGGTGGGCCATAAAGCAAAATTCCTTTTACATGTTTACAACCCAATTGAGTGACAATCTCTGGTGGAAAGACTCGCGATGCAAATGCTCGTCGAAAAATTGCACTAAATTCTTTATCTAGTCCACCAATTCCCATCTTTTGAAAGTCCCAGTCTGGATTGATAATCGACTGGCGGACGACTTTCCCCTTTGCTTTACCAACAAGATTCAAACTTGAGTTTTCTGCTTTTTCAAACTGTATCACAGTATCACCCAAACAGCGTCCCATATGAGTTTTCTTCGGTAGCGTATTTTGTCCAGAACTTATAGCAGAAAGATCAGCAGCTTCTAAGCTTTTCACTACGAGACCAAGTATTTTCTTATCTTTGAACTGAAACACCAACTGCTGACCCACGGTGAATGCCTGCCCCGAAAATTGTAACAGGAAATCTTTGGCCATTTCGTCGGTATTATATGGTTCCAGAGTAGTTCTAAAATGGATTGTATTACAAATAGTATTAAAAACATTATTTCTTTATAATCTTTCACAAAGATATTATCTACATACGATTTCTTCTGCAAGAAATCAGCTTCCAATACAATAGTACATAAACATTCTGTACTTGAAGTAGGATTGAAATAATAAGGTCTAACTTCAATTTCTTGATTAAGGGAAAGGGTAGCCCATTTCCTTTGGGGTAAACTAAAACCCACAGTTCCTCTTGGCACTTCATGATGCCTTTTTACAGTAAACACAAAGTGATGATTGGGTGCAGTGGTAACTTCAATATGCCTAAAAAATATAATTTCTTTAATATTACTTTATCATATTTGATCTGAATTTTTTATTACATTTGAGCATCTTTATGTATATATATATATATATATATATACACACAGAAAGTAATTCTACTAAATGGATCAGACTGTAGCTTTTTTGCAAAAGACAAATATATAAAAGAATAATATTTAAATTTTATTAGTTAAAAGTTGTACTAAACTCTGAGTGATATATATAACATTTAATCTTCAGATCCTATTATAGATGCCAAATCAATGAATTAATCACAAGGTGACATCTTTACCTGATATCATCTGGAAAGTCATCTGGATTTATGATTGCACAATTTGAAACAGTGAGTTCATCAGTAGGACACTTCACCGTTTTCATCCTCTGTAAAACAATATAATTTTGTTATTTAACAATTGATTACTATTCATGGAAAGTATATAACATTCACTGTCTGAAGTATTGATGAAATTTAATATAAGGAGGGGGAACACATTATCTTCATATATTTTGACTTATATTTTTTACATATTTATTACACAAAACGCATACGATAACAGGTGAAACAAAAGAATGTTACTTTTTCTGTAGAACTTACCATTGCTGACATTTTTTGACAGAATTTTATCGACACAGGCCCCTACACAGTATGGAACCTGCAATGCAGGATATTAGTACCATCAGTACAACCAATGATAAAAGAATAAAATTTCATATCTTCATGCTAGAGATTTTATTCATGTTTGGTAAAAACTTTGACAGATATAATAATGTTCAATAAATGATCAAATTCATTAAAATTGTTATATCTTATATGTTTTAAATTAAACAATCATTACTACACATATACATTTGGTACATTTAATATGAATGATGTTTATTTGTAAACAAAACTAATTGTAATAATGAAAATCAACCTTGTCACTGCTCTTATATGTATGTATGTATACGCCACAAAGAACAAAGCACTATTCCAAGCATGTCACAAGTAATTGTTATGATGTAAACAAAAGCACGTAGCATAGTTGTTAAAAACGATTATATATCCAAAACAAAAATTTATTTGTATAATTTAGCGCAACACCAAATGGCTGGAGATAAAAGTATACTTAGTTTACGATTTAATCAGGATCAAGGTAAAAATATAATATTCTTTTTACATTCCTACTTAATTTTAGTAAGATTGAAAATGAATAAAAATATAATAATAGTCTCATCATTTCAGGTTGTTTTACATGTTGTATGGAATCTGGTCTTAGAGTGTATAATGTAGAACCATTAGCTGAAAAAGCACATTTAGAAAATGATTTAATGGGAAGTATAGCTATAGCAGAAATGCTTTGGAGAACAAATATTATTGCTATAGTGGGAGGTGGTATAAGGCCAAAGTTTGCAGAAAATACAGTACTTATTTATGATGATTTATCTAAAAAGTTTGTAATGGAAATTACATTCACCAGCCCTATTAAGGCTGTTAGATTACGCAGAGACAAGTAAATTTATTAATAAAGTGAACTTTTACTTTTAGTTGATATACATATTACATTTACTTAGGTATAATTTTATAAAACAGGATGATAGTAGCACTTCAACGTGAAATACATGTATTTTCATTCCCTATGCCCACAAGAAGATTATTGACTTTAGAAACAAGGGACAATCCGAAAGGTTTAATCGAAGTTGCTACTTTAGCTACTGCACAAAAACAGCTACTTGCTTTCCCTGGTCACAAGCAAGGTAGTGTACAGTTACTTGACCTTGGTGCTACAGAAGCTGGAAGTTCCAGTGCCCCTGCAACTCTTGCAGCACATCAAGTATGCATATTTTATATAGGAATGATTAAATTAAAGTGGTGTTTCTGTGTTCATTAGCGTGTCTTTTCTTAGCATTTTATATTTACAAACAATACTGTTAGGGTGCATTAGCATGTCTGGCAGTTAACAGTAGTGGAACTATGATTGCAACTGCTTCCACTCAAGGTACTCTAGTAAGAGTATGGGATAGTATACGCAAACATTTATTAGTAGAATTGAGAAGAGGTGCTGATCCTGCTACACTGTATTGGTAAATATGAAGTTTTAGTTATCAAAGAATTAAAAAACTGCATTTCACCTCTAACAGTTTTATATTACGAATATTTCAGTATTACCTTCAGCAGAGACTCGGAATTTTTATGTGTTTCTAGTGACAAAGGAACAGTACATATATTTGCATTGAAAGACACACAATTAAATCGCCGATCAACGTAAGTACATATAGTTAAAATTTTGTCTTATAATAAAAGGTACATTGATTAAAATTAACTATCATTTTGTTTATAGTTTCTCAAAAATGGGGTTTTTGGGAAATTATATTGAAAGTCAGTGGGCTTTGGCCACTTTCACAGTACCACCAGAATGTGCTTGTGTGTGTGCATTTGGCACACGGAGTTCTGTTATAGGTATCTATTACATAATAAATATATCTAATATTATATTAATGTAACATATTTCTAAATATTTTATTTGTTCTAATTCTGTATTTTACACTGTTTTCCAGCCATCTGTATGGATGGAACATTTCATAAGTATGTTTTCACTGCTGACGGAAATTGCAACCGTGAGGCATTTGATGTCTTCCTGGATGTTTGTGATCATGATGATTTTTAAAATATAATACATAGTATATTTATAAGATTCCATGCCTGTGGGAGTTTCTAGTCATCCTAAGAATGAAACTTCTTGCAGCAAATGTCTGTATAATAATGTAATTACATTAATAACTGTAAAGAAAGCTACAAGTCATTACATTTATTAACTTTGTAACATAATATATTGAATATTGTTTAATCTAGTTTATATGCACAAAAGTTTTAGTAACATTTATACTTGATTACAGTACATAAAATAAAAATTTATTTTATACAATAAATGTGCTGAAATTCTAACTTACTTCATGATAAAACTACCACGATTTTCGTTTTGCCATCTGAGCTTCTGCTTGTTCTCGCATTCGTTCTAGAAATTATGCATTGTTTAAAAAAAATTAATAAACTTAAATATTGAAAGAACGGCAGTCAATTTAGAATTGTTAAAAAATGATGCATACTATATGGTTCTGGATTAAGCATAGGGCTTATTATGATAAAGTAAGAACAAACACCAATTGCTGATACAAAAGATCCTATAAATGCCGCATAACGCCAACCTGTCAATCGCATTATAGCTGAAACTGTAAACAAATAAAATATGTAAAAGACATATATAAATTCGCCTTTCGTATTTTGTATTTACGTTAACTAAAAAGTCTTGATCAAACATTAACCTAAAATCTTTTTTACAGTATTTTTTGTTACATTTTCATTTACCTATAAGAGATATGTTGATACTGTAATTTCGCTATTGTATTTTGTAATTTAAATAACAAAGTTATAATGTAAAATTTTCCATAAGAAGATAGTTTATAATAAATAGCATGTATTTCCTATTTCTGACTATAATATATGATTATGACGCTAGATGGCTTACATGATATTTATTTTCTCGCTAGTACTCGAAATGAAGTTCATTCCTTTATATACATCAAGCAAAAATGAACTGATGTACTTGCTTCGGCAGTACATATACTAAAATTGGAACGATACAGAGAAGATTAGCATGGCCCCTGCGCAAGGATGACACGCAAAATCGTGAAGCGTTCCACATTTTTTGTCTTTATGAATTAACAAATGATTACTATCTTAACAATTTTTAATTGCACTGAAACATAAATGTAAAAACCCATTTTATGTTCATGATTACTTAAAAGTTCACTATTTTGACGTGAACTAGTATATGTACATTGTATAAAATGAATTCATAGAAGGGTTGACATCGCGTGCTATGGTTTGGATTGTTGAAAATGAAATGTATTATCAATTAAATTTTTGTATAATAACATTAGAAAGAAGAAGATGATGTTATTGAAAACTGTATTCTAATCAATCGTAAAAATATTCTGTAAAGTAAATATATAAAATGTTTATTTAAGTACCGGTTGCATTCCGTAAACAGACCGTATAAATACAACGAATACATATGAATGATTTCTAATTTATTTAAAAAATGATGAAACAATGGTTATCAAATTTTATACTAGCCGGAACTATTAGATTTTTGTTGATGAATTCTGAATTCCAAAAAATTATCAGTAATCGTGTGGAAGTATCAACAGCATTGAACTCTTGGAAAAGAGGTTAGAACACTTGTTAATTTATTATTTAAATTCTATCTTAAATACTATCTTATAATAACACAAATTTTTCTTTTAGTGACTGAAGGAGTGTATTTATATAATTTTGGTATTGATCCTTATACGGGTGATTTATTTCATGAAACCCCTATTGGTTTATACATCTTCAATCTGATACAACAATATTTACCACATTGGGTTTTGTTTTGTTTATTTATCTCTACAGATTTATTGACAGCTTTACTTCTTGGACTTATTGCAAAGTACTATGCAAATGAATTGGTTAGTTCAATATTACATTTCATACTAAATGTCATATAATTTGGTGAAATTATATTGTTTAAGATAATATTTATTTCAGGCTTCTAGAAAAGAAGAAGAGAAATCATCAAGTGAAAATACAAAAAATCATGATGATGCTTCTATGATGTATACTTCAATGATGTATGTCTCGGCAGGATATTTATTTAATCCATATATAATACTAAATTGTGTTGGGCATACAACAACAGTATTCACAAATTTGTTATATTCCATAGCACTGATCTCAATGATAAGATGTTCTATGTTTTGGAGCTGTTTATCAATTTCATTATTAACATTACAAGGACTCTATCCTATTTCACTCATAGTGCCAGCAGTAATTTATATTGCTCGTTCTAATAGGATAAAGAAAAAAAGAAATATTATAATTTTTCTGTTGATGTTTTCAAGCATGTTAACAGCTCTAGTTTGTATTTCTTATTATATCATGGGAAGTTGGTCATTCATTTGGAATACACTGGGTTTCATTTTAACTGTTCCTGATTTGCGTCCAAATATAGGACTTTATTGGTATTTTTTCACGGAAATGTTTGAGCATTTTAGATGGCTCTTTATTGCTTCTTTTCAAATAAATGTCAGTTTGTTATATATAGTACCACTAGCATTGAGGTTGCGACATGATCCAATGCTATTAGCATTTTCTTATTTAGCAATTGCTGCTATATTTAAACCTTATCCCTGCATAGGGGATGTTGGCTTTTATATGTCTCTTTTGCCATTGTGGAAACATTTGTTCCAGTGTAAGTACATCTTTATCATAGATATACTAATTACTCATATTTTATTGAACGTAGAACGTGATTATAATGTAAGAACTTTATATTGTTTTACAGATACACAACAAGGGTTCTTTGTAGGCTGTTTCATGCTATTTTGTACAGTTTTTGCTCCCACTGTTTGGTATCAGTGGATTTATTCCAGATCAGCTAATGCAAACTTTTATTTTGGGGTGACATTAGCATTTGCCATAGCACAAATTTTTTTATTAACAGATATTCTGTTTGCAAGCGTAAAACATGAATTTGCAATACGTCATGGTATTAATAAGGATATCAGTGGAAGCACAGCAAAATTACTTTTAGAATAAAGTTGTACCTTACAAATTTTAGCATTAAAATTGTTTATGAAATTCCAAAGCTGAAAGAAACTATTGTTACATATCCATCAACTATTTTTTTAAATTTTATAATAGAATAATATATCAATTATTTTATTTTCAATCAGTAGAATATTTCTTACCCAAATTGGTATGAAATTAACACAAGTACAAATTTATTCATGATTTTTATTTCATTTTGTCTGTTTAATTTATTTTATCAAAATTAACATTCAACAAGATTTATTTACATAAAATTATAAAATTTGACAAAATATAACCAAAGATAACATATCATGTACTATTCTTGTCATAAAAAGATAATACATTATTTTATAGTCTTTATTTTAAATAATCATTGGCAAGGAGTTGTTTAGTTTCAATACTTAGTTTCTTAAATAGGAGATATTTTCTATTTTAGGTCTAATGTGTCAATAGTGCTACAAGCATTATTCTTTACACAATACTCCCATAAAATATTCCAATTTTTATTTTTGCAAAGAACAGATGGATCTCCTACTATTATTAACAAATTCTTTGCTCTTGTCAGCGCAACATTAAATCTCTGAAAAAATTATATTTGATTTTTTATAATATAGGTACATATACAATGGTTATTAAATGTAAATTAATTAAATTGGAAAGAATACTATGTAAAACTATACCTTTGGATTAGATAAGAAGCCAATATGTTCTTTACCATCATGTGTAAAGACTTTTGATCTTACTGTAGTTAATAGTATAATTTCCCTCTCTTGCCCTTGAAATGTTTCTACTGTTCCAACATCTATGCCATGTAATCTAGTTCCCTTAAAATTTTTGTCGATCATAATTTTTTGTTGTTTAAATGGCGTTATGATGCCAATATCTGTTTTTTTAATTTTGCGTGTACCCAGTTTGGCTTGTATCAATTTTTTTGTATAATATGTTATAACATCGATTTCTCGTTTGTTGTAAACACTACAAAAAGTAATGTATCTTATTTCCACTACATGATTCATAAATAACTACCTATTGTAATTAAATGATACTCAAATATTACCTTCCACTTTGCACCCTTGTTTCTTTGCCTTTAACTGCAAAAAATATAATGGGAAATTGTTTATTTGACAATTCTGTCCAATTTAGAGTTAGCGTGTTTGCGTTCGACTTGGTACAACATAACAATTCATTATCATAAAATAATTTATTTGGTACATGTATAATAGCTTCTTGATTACGATGATTTCGAATTAATTTTGTTATATAACATGAATTGTATTCGTTATTTACTTTTTGGTATGGTTCACATTCCATTAATCTTTCTATTAGTGATTTTCCTAAAAATATAGTTTAATTATTTACAAATTGATAAACATGTTTATACGTACTCATAATCCCAAATCTGTAATTATATTTACCAAGCAAGTGTTCAATTTTTTTACAATGAATTACAGGTCCAAGTTGATAAGGATCACCAGCAATAATAATTTGAGCATGTAACATTCCTTCAGCTCTTTTATTTTGTGAACTTGCAAGTGCAAATGGAATCAATGATTCTAATTCTACACATTGACTAGCTTCATCAATAAATATATATGAAAAATGGTCTTTCTTTAAGTTGAGTGCCATCAATCTATACTTAACGAAATTATAAACAGCATTATTAATTATTATTAATAACGAAACATTATAATACATTCAAAATATACCTCACACATGTCACTAACGTTGTAATAACAATCTTTTTTAAAATCAAAATTTCTTTTGGTAAATAAAGAACTGTGTTATTAACAAAATTTGAGGAATGATTAATTTGTTTGTCTACACTTGACCTATATTTAAAAAGAAAAAACAAATGAAAGTAATAAACCAACAACTATTCGTAAAAATAAATGTCTTACCAATGTTTAGATGTTGCATACATCCGAAATATATCTTTACAAGGAAGTATAGCTAATAATCTTTTTGTAATTTCATCTGCAGCTGCATTGGAAGATGCACATATCAAAATATTTTTGAACTTATGATGTTTTCTAATCTATGAAATGATTAAAACTTTAAGTAAAAATATTCAATATACATTTTTATGTCACTATATGTTATATTAAATTATACTTGACAAATAGCTTCAACTAATGTTGTTGTTTTTCCAGTACCAGGGGGACCAAATAATATATATGGTGCAGGATATGCTGTTTGATTCAAGATATTGATTACTGCAATTTTCTGTTCTGGATTTTCTGCTATACTTTGATTCACCCAATCTATATTACTGTATTATAACATAAATGAATGACAATATAATATAAAAATTAGAAACCATTCACATTTAGTGAAACTTACTTCTTCTGTAAAGTACAAACATTTGTATTTATTTTAGGATATAATAGACTGATCAAGTTATGTTTACATATAATGTGTAATACATAGTGGGAACATTTTAATGGCCAACTTGCTGGACAGAATTTAATATCGACTTCATGATCTGACAATAAAGATATAATTTTTGTACTTCTGAAATTTAAAAAATGTTTATTATTAGTTACATATTCAAAATAATGTTTACTTCATTTCTCTATACTTAAATATTAGGTTTAAATATACTTACGGAGTTAATAAAGATACATATACTTTTTTCTGCTCAATATTTGTAATTTTACTATGATATGTACGTTCTAAGACAGGTATATATAATTTCACTGTATCACCAAAACTAATAAATGGATCATCCTCATTCAAAGTAGGTACTGTGAATGCAAATGTGCCAGAACATTGAACAATCTTTTGATTTCTTAAATTATGTTTCTCAGCAATTAATTGAAGCTCATAGTTCTCCATGTACAATAAAATTTTAAATAATATCAAATAATATTCAGGTTCTATTTTGTCTATATTTGAAAAGTTATTAATAAGCTTCATATAATTTCTACACAATCGACTGTTTGTAGAATATTCTACTAAATGATTTCTCAAAACCTCATGTAATTCTGAAGGTAGTTTAAAATCTTGTAATGGTAATTGTTTACCCACACCAAAACTGGTACAATGTCTAAAGCAAACAAAAAAAAACAACAATAATTCAAGATTAATAAATATAATAAATTCTGTAAAACAGATATGACAATATATGTATATATATATATACTTCTTTTCAATGGAGAATATGTACTTACGTGCTTTTTGCAATAATAGACCTTCCGTTTTTGCATTTATTATTTTTTGTCATGTTTAATAAGAATATTTAAATTATAATTACAGAAGATATGTCGTTATTATTGTTAGTACTAACATAAAATTGTATAATTTTACAAGATATAATCAAACTTTATCGAAATAAGGCCAGAACTTTTATCAATTAATAATACAAAGTGTTATCTTCTTTTATACTATATATGTATATTCCGATTGGAAGTACCGGACTTTCCAGCTAACGTAACATTTTAACAATTTGACCATCCTTCTTATAGTGAGAAAATTAATATAAAATAAAAACTATCTAGATGTTCAATGGCTATTACTATAATATAACAATGTTTATAATAAATATATGTGATACAGAGGTACAAATTTTTCATTTACTGAGACAATGCATTCAATATTTTGTGTTTATTTCTGTTTGAAAATTCTTAATTACAGTTTTCTTAGGTACTTATTACATTCGTTGATTGGGTGCACTGTTTTAGAATCGTGTGTAGTGTGTACAGAACTTAAATAATGTAATGTATTGTTCTTACATGATAATTTCATGTGTGCATGTGACGTCGATACTTCTTACTGTATCGTACGATGTGTATCTAATAATTTCATTGTAAAAAAATGGAAACATTATATTTTCCAATGATAAAAGTATGTGTAAATGTAAAGAGTATGAAACGTAAACGGTTTCGGAAGTCATCGATGTAGACAAAAGATACGATTGTAAATAACTCTGTCAATATCTATTCAATATTTTAATTCGAACCTGTTATCATTTAATATTTTATTTTTCAAAAATTGATGGAATATCTACATTTTACCAAGAGTTAATTCGTCATTTATTTGCAGAATTATATATTTTGCATGTATTAACGATTTAGTCATCTTTTTATAATAAGGGAGAAAATATGTGAATGTTTTGTTATAACCCTTCGTATCACATTTATATCATAACAATTTTACAACATTTGTTTAAAAATATATTACTAATTTTGATATTTTCTTTGATTTCAGCAAAAATGTCAGAGTTGATAAACAATTCTACAGAAAAGATTGATATAATTCTTCCTAGACAAGGTTTTCTATATCAGGAAGAAAATTTAGATTATATACTTTGCAAACCCAAGTTAATTCCATTAAAGTCAGTTACCTTAGAAAAATTAGAAAAGATGCAAAAGGATGCTGAGTTAAAAATCCGGGAAACTATGGAAGAACAAGCTAAAATAAATGATAATGAGTAGGCTATAAGAGCTACTTGGAAGATATACAACAGTGGAGTAATGGTATAACAAAATCAGGAGACTGTTACCAAACCAGAATGATTCTTGGAGCATTCTTGACAGAGATTGTGGTAGCATTCTGCCTTGCTGCAACCTTGTTGTATAAATATGGAAATATTTTTCGACATCATATCATTGTTACAGTTTCTGTGCTTATAGCATGGTACTTTTCATTGCTGATAATATTTATACTGCCTTTAGATGTTTCATCGGTAAGTATAAATGTAACAGATCTGATAATATAAAAGCAATTTATATTAATTTTGTACATATTTTTTACAGACTGTTTTCAGACAGTGTGTTGAACAAAATATTCATAATACTAGTAAAACAAACCCTGAAAGTACAACAGTAGCACCATTTCACACTTGTAAAGAACCTTGGCCTAATGTTCCAGAAAATGTATTTCCAAATTTGTGGAGAATTGTTTATTGGACTTCACAATGTTTGACATGGTTAATATTACCACTAATGCAATCTTACATAAAGGCAGGAGATTTTACTATTCAAGGAAAATTAAAATCTGCTTTGATTGATAATGCCATATATTATGGGAGTTACTTGTTTATATGTGGTATTCTTTTAATATACATAGCATTAAAACCTGGCTTAGATCTTGATGGGTAAATATTATAAATTGATACATTAAATGTACTAAATATAATTTTACATATAATAATATACAATCTTTTATGTATCATTTAGCCAAAAGTTGAAAGCTATAGCATCATCTGCATCCAACACATGGGGTCTGTTTTTACTAGTATTATTACTTGGATATGCACTCGTAGAAGTTCCTCGTGGATTATGGAATGCTAGTAAACCTGGATATACCCTAAATTATAGCTATTTTAAAGTTGCTAAATTAAGTTTAGATAAATGTGAAGCAGAAGAAACAGTGGATGATATACTTGAGGTAATAAAATATTAGCATTAAATTAGATTTTATAACTTCCTACAATTTTTCTCTATATTATTTTAAACTATTTTTTAGTCTTTGCAAGCTGCTACAGTGTCTATTGGACCAGGACATCCTTTTCATTGTAATTTGGAAACAATTTTCCAAAAGATTCCTGCAGAATTAAAAGATAGAATGAATAGAAGACAGTTACCTGATGATACACCAACTGATACACCATCAGAAAAATCTTTAATTCGTTTACATAGACAAGTCTGTCATTAATTAGGAATATTATACATGTCTTATTAGTGAATATATGTTTAATTAACAAGTTATTTTCTTTCAGACTATAAAAGCATTACAGACATTACAGCGTATAGAAACTCAATGGGGCATTTTAGTTAATAAAATAATCGATTTAGAGGACATAGCAAAAAATCAAATAAGTCACGACAGAAGATTCAAATCGACTTTTCCTGCGCATCGCTCATTTCCACTTCGTGTCGTGTACAATCCTGTTATCGGTAAGTTCCTTACATTTATAAACATAAAAACTAGTTAATTTTCAAAATGGATTCATATTTTTAGAATGGTATTGGAAATGTATTATGAAGAGTTATGTTCAAAAAATAGCAGCCGTTTGTGCTGGTTGCCTTTCAGTAGCTGTAGTATGGTCAGAAGTAACATTTTTTAATAAATCTCCAGTGTTGTCATTGTTTGCTCAGTTTCTGAATCTAGCTAAAGAAAATTACGATTATTTTACAATCGAGGTGAGTGAATACAATATAAATTTGATATTAATAAATATATTGTTATGTTGCGAAGTAAAATATCGTTTTCAGTTAATATCAACGCTAATAATTGCATATCTCTGTTACTGTGCTTATTCGACCGTTTTAAAAATTCGTGTGCTGAATTTATATTATTTAGCACCACATCATCAGACTAATGAATACAGCTTAATATTTAGTGGTATGATGTTGTGCCGTCTTACACCACCTATGTGTTTGAATTTTTTGGGTCTCATACATATGGATTCACATATTATAAAGACTCACATATTGGAAACTCATTACACTCAGGTAAATAAGATTTATTATAATTTGTGATTAACTTATGTAGCTAATATTATGATTTACTTATTCAGGTTATGGGTCACATGGATGTTATTTCCATTATATCTGATGGTTTTAATGTATATTTTCCAATGGCTATTTTAGCATTTTGCTTAGCAACATATTTTAGTTTAGGAAGTAGATTGCTTTCTATGTTGGGTTTCCAACAGTTTCTCGATGACGATGAATTTACAACAGATATTGTTGAAGAAGGTCGAGAATTAATTAAACGAGGCACGTAATTAAATGTTACAATATTTATATTACATATTATTTATATATTACTGTGTTTATTTATTTTTAGAGAGACGCAAGCGACAAAGAGCGGAAGATTCAATGTGTAGAAGACGTGAATTACAAGAAAGGTTTAGCAGCTCTACAAATTCGTCTCGTTACAGAACATCTCGACAAAGCACTGATACAGGTATGTAATATATTGACGAGATGATGACATTAATAATACAAAAACTTCTATGTAATCAAATTATAGTGCGACCGTTGAAACGGGATGAATCAGTAGAATCTGCAAGAGCTGGATTGTTACGTGATTTTGATCCCGCGGAATATTATGTCGGCATGACATCCGGAACCTATAGCTATGGTGCAAATAATTGTTATGATAGAGATTATCAAACTGATGAGTTTTACGAAGAACGTACGGACAATGCAAGAGCATTTATTACGAACACAAATCGTGTAGGACCTCCTCCAAGAGGATTGTTCGATGATATTTAAATGAAATAACGTTTAACATCTGCTATGTAATGAATTACAGGTGTGAGGTACATTTGTATTTAAAAATAGTCATAATCTATCTGCTCTTGATACATGATAAAATTTTGCATACACATAAATTGTTACTGTAATTAAATTGTCAGTTTAAAAAGCAATCGTAAAGTTAAACTAATATACTAGTTGAAAAATGTGATTTTAAACAAAATCCCAGTTTTTAGTACTTTCATTTATTATTCAATTTGACCATATAAATTAATAGAAGTTAATAGAATTCATAGAATATTGATTTATTTTATTTATGTTTATACGTTTGTATTTTTAACAAACTTACGATTAATAAAAGAGATAATAAAATGGTGAAAATAATTTTATTATAATAATGTAACATGTTAAATTTTATGCAGCATTTGATAACATTTTTAACGTTGTATGCATAGACATATGTGCAAAGATAAAGTATTAAGAGAATTTTAAATAGCTAACTAAACTTCGATTCAATCTTTTTTTTGTAAGCAGCGATGTCTTGAATTCAACATTTTTTCTAGTACTTCTTATTATAAATACAAGCACAGATAAACAGGTACTGTTTAACATAGCATAACAGCATAGTAGGAAAAGAATAATTTTTTATATTTATGCATGCTCTTGTATTGCACATTATAAAAATGCAAGTAAGGTATTGATTCGTTATATTTAGAATAATTAATTGTATCATTATATAGTCTTATATATAAACTAGTACTTATAGTTCTAATCACATATTGACAAATAGTATTGAATAGAAAACTATCCATTTGGTAATTTATATTTGTATTGTAGAAGTATTAAATAATTCAATATTTGTTTAAACAGTTTAATAGTGAATGTGAAGATGTGTTTATCTTCGTTACAAATATTACACATTGTGTATTATTATTTTAATAACAGAATTTTAATTGCTTTGATAAAGGTTGAATTTAATTGTAAATAGTAAATCAATGTTTATATTATTCGATTTTACTAGGATGGAATTTATTTATTGCTGTAAGTTACACGTACATATGTTCTATATAAATCAATTTATTTTATATTGTAAAATAGATAGAAAGAAATAACATTTAGAGCTTAAAGGAGGTCGGTTTTCTCTGTTATGCAAAATAAAATTGTGTATATTAACTTTATTGGGAATATTTAATACACAATATAAGAACGATTAACAAAACGTGTATCTAAAATATGCGTGCAATATTAATAGTATCCACTAACAGATATTTCATGTATCAACAAGTAATAAAAATTCTTAATAACCTTGTATTATTGTTCAACTGCATTTTTTTATAACTTTAAAATACGTATAGAATGGGTGCTAAGTATTAAAGTCCATATTAAAATTGAAAATAGATATTATCACTTTATGTTACATTTCATTTCATTTCTTTTTGTACAATTTTATTTCATTATATTTTCATTTAAATAACGTAATTTTTATAGCATAATTTGAAATAATAAATTTAGTATTCAAAACTCTTCTGGTTAGTTCTAATAAACATCTTTTACATATACATATATTAAGTGAAATAAACTATATAAAATGTGATTGTGGCTAATATAAAGAAAGAAAGAGTATATGCAATTACTATTTTTACTATTTTCATGTGTTCTGATTGTGAAATGCGATTTTTCTCGTGCCTGTGCCTAGAACTTCCTAATTCTGGCATTAGCAATAATGGTTCTAGTAATAATAAACTGGATCTATTCGCTCTATGATCAGGAACATGGTCTTGCTTAAAACTATGTGAACGAAATATGTCATTACGATAATTCATCCAATTTTGCAAATCAGTATCGTATCCAACATGTTTAATAGAGTTCAGAATATTGTTGTGATTAATATGAAATATCATAGGTGCAATGCCTTGATTTGATATTCTTGTGTAAAAATTACTTGCACAACGGTGATATAGTTCAGTATTTACTACTCCCTTTGTACCACTACTTATGAGAATATTTGGTTTCAGTGCTGTTTTTAAATCAAAAACATCTTGTAGTGGACTGTAAACATAAAATATACTAGATGCATTAGTTTTTAGATAATTATAAACTAACAAGCAATGCTGAACATTATTGTATTGCGAAAATAAAGTACTGTCAAATTTCCCATCTACTGAACAATATGCAAAACATATGATGTCGTTTTGTTGTAACAAACGAACCTCTTTTGCATGTAATGATTTCTTTGCATATATCAAATTATCAGAGTATACTGGACTGTCCTGTAAGCTGGCACATTGCTTACAAATTTTATGACGTGGAAGAAAAAGTGTGTTTATCAAAGTTTTTGCAGTGGTAGGACTATACTTTTCATAATAATCCATAATATCACATTCGAGAGCATTGACTTCTTCATAAATATGATCTAGGTTTGATGAGTATTTTGTAAGTGCACTACTTTCCTCCATGTTCTTTTTGGTAAGCATACTATCTTTGAATTTAACTAAAGGTTTACCTAAATATTTTAACGATTCATTTCTGTATGCAAGTTGTTCCGAGTTTCTAAATTCATTATTTGATATTGATGATAATTCTGTGATGTTTGACGTAGTTTCAATCGTTTTTGAAGTATTAATAACAGGAGATACGTATTCGTGTCTGTTATCTATCTGATTTTCATTTCTTTGAGATTCTTGTATTGGAAAACTGTCGTCACTAGAAATTACATCAACATTGACAAATTTGCACGGTGGTATGCTGGTTTTGTCTACGTGCCAAGTACCAAATGCGTGTGTCTCCGTGCATTGTGTTCCTATAGTTTTATCAAATACCTGCCATTTATTATCGTTATTTTTCGTTCTGATACTACGTTCTTTCTCTAATCGCAAATGTTCTAAGTGTAACTGGCGGTGGTGAACACACGCAAAATTATATCAATTTATTCTTTCAGTTTCCTCGTTTCGCAATTCCCGTTTAATTTTCTGTAAATCGTGAAGAATCTGGAACAAACAAAAAATAAAATAATTTAACAAACCAGAAATCATTTAGTGCAAGTGTTTAATTATACACAAACCTCTAGTATAGAAGAAGCGCTCCAAGCTTGGGTTTTACAACTATCCTTGCAATATTCTCCATCTTTGTTAGTAAGTTCGGGAAGACCTCTCCAATGATTTGTTGACGCCTCTATGAAATGTCGAGAAATAATGTTTTCGGTTGAGTCGATTGTGCGACGTAATTCTTCTTTTCCTCCAACCAATGGAGCAAAATACAAACGAGCTCGAAGGAAGTATCCAATAGGCCAAACCCATTCCTATAAGGTATTGTCAAGTATACGATTTTCATTTTACATCAAGATATTGAGTTTTCAAGAGACTACGTACGGGTCCTTGATGATAATTCCATCCATGAGCCAATTTAGTATCTCCACTGTCATTAGAATTATCATAATACCCATTGTATGCCCAATCAGCAGGATCTAATGTTTTCATTCCAAGTGGGCCCAACAAAATTTCTTCCGCTTTTTTTAATGCTGCCCATGCATGTGCCGGATTAAATAACTCCGGAGCCTTTTGAAATGACAAGATTAAGGCTTGTATTAAACTTGTATTATACTGTAAGAATGAAATACTTACAACCACCATAGCAATCGGGAAATTAGGACGTAACTGATAATCGGCCCATGCCTGTGTAGCTCCATGACTATCTTTGAAAATCCCACGACGATGGATAAGTTCTGGTTTCAATTCTCCTTCTGTCGGTGTTTCATTAATATAGAAATATTTCTCGAAGTTCAATGAAATTTTATCTGCCCATTGTTTATAACTCCACGTTATAACGGATCCTGTAGTAAATATAAATTGTTACAAAAGGATAATAGCAATAAAAATACATAGTGAAATTCATCTTACCATCACGGTTCTTTCTTTGTACACTACCATGAGGAAATAGGTTTTGTTTATACAATTCAGCTAAAAAGCTAAGGATACTCTTGCTTAGCCCTACAATTTCTACAGCCGAACCATCCCTTGGGGTAGCAGGTTTTCCTTTGTTACCAGCTTTTTCAGAAGATCCCATTTTATCCATCCATGTGCCGCAATTTGCATCATTTCCGCCAAATACAAATCCAGTCTCAGGGTGTACCCCAATTTGATTGTTAAAACCACGATCTGTCATATGCTCATCAATTTGCCTTCCAGCATTTCTTTCTCTAAAGCAAAGCCCTTGGAAATGTGCTAAAAGAGCCTCTTGAATTACGTCATGCAGCGGTTGATCCTAAACATTGTTGTGTAAGATACACTACATGTAATGCACTGGTGTTCATCATTTGGTTACAATAAACTATTTGTACATACAACTTGCCCTGCAGGTAAGGCTGGAGAATCATCAGTTGGGAATAGTCTTGAAACTTTGTCTGTTAAAATTTTCAAACCATTTGGCACTTCTTGTATGTAACATTGAATAATATACAACCACCACCACAAAGCATCCCGACAGTTGTATCTAATAAATATAAAGAAAAAGTTTTTGTAAAAATCAATGTTAATTCTAAAAGATATAAAAGGAAATATGTATCTTATTCTTTACCTGGCATTTTTTCCTTTGTCAAGTAGATTAGGTATGAGACCGTGTCGTAAAGTACATCCATAGCTAAGGATAATAAATCTCGCTTCGGTATGTCTGCCTGTTAATATGAATAAGCCTCTTAAAGCAATAAACGTGTCTCTGCCCCAATTTCTCATATAACCTGTTGTGAAGTGCGGTAAACCAGCCGATAATGTTGTGCATATTTGTTCGATTTCTCCATTATATTCTTTAATTTTCGGTTTAGGAGGGTCTAAATTAGGAGACAAGTCTGGCAATGGAGCTGATCTTACTACACCTCCCACTTGTATTGAAACTAACGACAGAATCTTGATGAAAGTGGAACCATCCTTTACAAAACTAATAAATCATAACGAATTAGTATGAATAAATATGCAAAATAGAAGTATGTGAATAATATGACATACCTTGTCATCAGACTATAACATTGCTCAAGAAGAATCATATAAACATTTACAATTACAACATCGAAATAACTAGGCACTAAGTAACGAGGTATTACTTTAAATGGCTCAGTGGCGTCTTCAAGCCACTCGCCAAGAGCTCTTGTTCCATCATCCTCTTTTAGTCGTTGCCAAGTATAATCTATTAACCAATTTCCCTGTCTGAGATTGATACACATTGGGTGACCTAAATCATTATTAGGGCGTATATCCGCTAATAAAGAAATGGTGCCTAAGAAGGAAATATTATTTGATTAAAACATAGTAGATCTATGTGTATGACGTGTTGAATTTATTAATTTACCTTGCAACCCTGCATAAACGAGGGGCCCATAGCCAGGAATATCGTACACACCAAATTTATTTGAAGTTTCATCACGTTCTTCCTGATCACATCTGTACAAAGCTTTGTTCAAATCTACCAAATCCATACGTGAAGCAATGACGCGTAAATCTGAGCTTTTCGGCGATGTAATTATTGAGATGGTATTGTGAAGCTTTGCAAGAGCAGGCTTTATGTTAGCATGAAGAGATACTCTAAAATTAATACATATTAATATTTATACGTGCAATTTGGTAATCAAATTTTACCAGAAATGTACAAAAATATTACCGGATAGCAACAACAGATCCTGGTTGGAAGTTTACAAAATTAAGCTGAGTTATTTTAGGATCCCCTGAATCAACTTTTTCCAAAATTGCCGAGTCACAAATTTGTATATGTTCTTTAAGACTTACAGTATACTCAGAGAGACCATTTATATAATTTTCATTTCGCACATATTTTTCAGGGTAATGGAAAGGTGAAGTACCATTTCTAAAAATTAGATTTTAGTAAAGTATTCACAAAATATGTGCAGAAAAATGTAAAAATATATCTAGTTTCTTACTTTACTCCTATATGAGATAAAGATGCCTCCAAAATAATTTCTTCCATTACACCTTCTACTCGCAATGGTTTCACGTGTCTTCTCAAATCATTAGCATTGGAATCAGGATGCTTGAAAGCTGTAAAAGCAACTAAAATTACACTGTCGTGAGTAGTTGGAGAATGTCTTGTTACAGCTACTATGTCGCTATCCATTTGGTCAACGAAAACCTGTAACCATAACGAATAACGTGTAAGTAATAAGTATCTTTATATAATAAAATATAAATGGTGGTAGTATACTTGAGAAAATTTCTGTTGTCCAAGCAAATAATGTAAATCATTTAATGCTTTTTTTGCTGAAATTATGCCTGACTTAAGTCCCACAAGATTGATACCGTCTACCAAATCTTCGTCATCCGTCCAGGAAGCATATTGTCTTGTTTCATCTACAACGTGTATCTGTAAGAAATAACGAACAAAAATTGATTTAATTTTATAGACACTAATTTTATGATAATATATCCGGTAGAACCTACGTGATGGGGAACTAATTCATCGTATCCACGATTGCTGCCACTAGCACACGCAGCCATTGATACAAGCGCAGCGCTTGGAAGTAAATCAAAGACACTACGCTTTTCCACTGGACTAGGATTATCATGAGTTAAATCTAAAAAGAGTGCATGTGCTATGCTTGGTACCAAAGGCCGTTTACGTGGTTGCAAGAATGCACCGACTGGTTCACCTCCGTAGCGATAGACTAATCGACCTTCTTCGTGACTATCCCACGCAGACATGGCCTCTATATAAAAAATAAGAAATCAAATATTTAATAACAATTTACATTCCTTGTATGATTCTGTAATTAGAACTGTATCTGTATACCTCGAATTAAAGAGGTGATACCGAGTCGATTAACAAATATATTGTCTTTCTGGTCAGAGTTTGTAAATAATTCAGCAACAACGTATAAATTAGGTCGAACTCGACGAGCAGCATCAAGCATGTACTAAAAAATGATATAAAATATTAAAACATGTTTCAGTATATTTAAAACTTAAACATACCTCTGCAACTGGAATAGGTGTTGAATGACAGTTATCCAGACGAACACCATCAAAAATTTTAGCCATTTGCTCGACGTAAGTAGTCATGTGTTTCCATAAGAAAGGACAATCATCTGGTTTATTTCCATATCTATAATAAATATAGTATATTATAATTTGCAGCCAATTTACGATGGTAGAAATAGTTACATTACCTTAACTTTACACTGTCACCCCAGGCAATAAGTTCTCTTCTTATATAGACATTAGAATCAGGATCTGCAAAATTTTTCAAAGGATCGCCATTCATCACCCATCCATTGTGAGCCATCAGATAACATCCTGAATCCGAATACATTGTGGCTTCTCTCTCAGTTAATGTTTGAGGTGTTCCATAATCAGTGAAGTATCTGAATATAATCATAATTATAGTGATAATACTGCTTAGAATATTAAATAAAATGATAAATTTTGGTAAAAATCACATACCTAGGAACAAGTGGATTCCTTTCACTTATTTCTTTGATTTTTGGTCCATCAGGTTGTACTCTAAAATATCTTATACCAGAAATTGTATTTTCAACTGCAGCATTTAAATGATTCTGTACTTCATTGATGATTGTATCGTTAAGTTCTTGTAATTTTTTTCTTAAATCTTCGGCGCATCGTTTTAAACGCGTTTCTTCATCAAAACAATCAGCTCTGTACAAAAATGGTTAAAATTAATATCTTTCTTACATAATATTGAAACCTGACTTATATTTTAATTATAATTTACCTATATATATTATATGTTTGTAAAGCATGTTGCATGTTGATGGTTGCTTTTAATCTTCGGAACTTCGGATCTCTTATGATTTTTATATCCTCTGATATTGGTTCAACATTATCTTGAGGCATTTGATTCCGGGCTGTATTCAAAAACTCAGCAACAGTTTCATTGATATCTAATATATATAGTTCATGAACTTTCACAAGTGGTAGAAAATATGTATGAAGTGCGTGACGAATCGACTAAAAGTAAGAAAGTAATAAGCGTTAAGATATATTTGATCTATTTAATCGGTCTAAAAATAATTGCTGTACATTTAAATGTTCCTCAGTTTCAACTACAGTAGGGATACCCTTAAATTCCCAATCCCCTGCTGCCACTTGTACTGTTAATTCAAATAATGCTGCATCCAAAATATATGCAGGACGCAAATGAGGACTGTTTAGACAGTTATATGTACATTCTGGATGAGATACCAAGAAAGGACTCTCATTTGCTGTGTGATTTAATACAATATCACATACGCTCAATACCTGCAGTACACAACATTTAAAAAGTATTAAGGATTATTGTAGCAATATAAGTTGTAACTATATAAAATTGTACTACTTACATTCCATTCATTACGCATTTTATTCATAAGTCCTTTGATGTCATCAAATGTCACTGGTTTATCATCATCATCATTAAAGGAAGCATTTAATTTCAGTTGATCACTAAGACTATAAGATGATTTAGAATATCCTAATTCCTAAAATTGAGATTACACATGAATTATAATATATATTTTACATATGTATTATATGTAAATTAAATTCATTACCTGTATTGGTGTAAAATGAACCATATTATACCCAGAATTTCTCGCGACTAATAGTTTATCTTCCCAAGTGGAAAATGGTCCTAAACACTTTGCCAAAACAGTTTGGCACTGGATACAATCTAAGGATAGATCTTCTCCATTTTCTCCTACTTTAAGTTCTGGATCCACTAATAGATATCCAGAAGCAACAGGTTTTATACCTCCAGAACTAAAAAATTTAACATGATTGAAATTGTTGATTTACATTTCATTTAGTTAACTTGGTTCATTTAATGCTTACTTAGGATCCACAAGATAATAGTGGAATGAACCAGCTAGTGATAAACATATACTAGTTGTCTCATTTATCCATTCCAATTGATAATATGTATGTCTTTCAAATTTTTGATTTGCTCCTATAGGATGATTTATAAACAGATCAAGTGACTTCCCAAGGAGGGAAGCGCCTAATCGAAATTCTACTTTCCATCCTATCAAAAATCATTTTAACATCAAAATTATATAAGGTCATTCGTATGGTAAATAATAACTGTACTTATATACCTTTCTTTAATCTGTATAATATACCATCAAGATGTTCTCCATTATTTAGAGTTAAGACTCTTACTTGGTCAGAGTCCAGATTTTCAGTTGATGAAATGTGTTCTGACATATTTTCAACCACTGCCTAAAAACACAAATAATTATTATATTATACATTGAAATGTCATGGTGTTTTATAATTATCTGTAACATTCACAACTACTTAAATATATCCACACTGTTTTGAAATTATTGTAACCACTTATGTTGATTTTTAATGTAACGTATCACAATATATTAAATAGTAGAGAACTTTATCTATGATAAAAAAATAATAAATATACTGAAACAAGAAAATTGATAAGAAAAGGAAGCACTATGTGTCATTAGATTAATAGAAAATGTACAAACTGCATGTGTCTATAATACTTTTAGAGGTAAATTCTCTCTCTGGAGAATTAGTACTTACACGCGAAACGTGGTAAATGGATAAATACTTAGCCCACCAGTCCCTTAATATAAGTTATCAGCACAAAGCAGCTACCAAGCATACAAGAAGCATGGTATAATATTACAAAGTTATGCTTCATGAACATACATAAAACCTAGAGATATTCTCATTCTACATGCTTGGATTACCTCTTTGTAATAATATAGACATAGGACAGACTTTGTACCATATGACATCAATGTATATTTATGCTATTATTTTTCTATCTATCTACTGGTAACAATAAGATTAATTCTAACAAAAATGACAGAAAATATATTATTTTTAATGATTTAACAATGTTAACATTGAAATATTATTCTGAAATATAAAGGGACTGAGTCTTTTATATTTAGAATCTTATTTCATAAGATCTTTGATATATATAGTATTATGATTTACACATATTGATATATGATATTTTTTAAATTAAAATTCTTTCTTCAATTGAATTGTTATAATTGTACTAACTAAATGTTACAAAGACATTACAAAACTTGTATTATCTATAGTAATTAAGTAAATATTATGATAATCTTATCACTTATAGCTAAAGATATAAATGTAACGGATTACTGACATATATCATTGTACCTATTGAAACTTACATAATAACAAAGATATTTTATATAGCAGCATTTACAAAGATATTGAAGAATGTTCCCAAATTTCCTTATTAAAGTCCTTGTTGTATTACAAAAAAAGTTACATATTTTGAGCATAGAACCCATTCTTAAATTAAAGCATATAACTGAAATGATTTGTTACTAAAGGTAATAAATTTTTCAGTCTTATGTTATCATATGAGATATGATTTGTATATAATTTCTAGTTAAATAAAGGCCATTTTGTGCATTGCCTACAACAAATATAAAAAAGCTGTTTAAATATAAAACATTCCTATTAATTATTTTAGCGCATAACAAAAATTGTAATCAAAATAATTAATTTTTTTATATTAAAAACAAGATGATGTATATATTAGAATACTGTTTTATTTAATTTTCTAAAATATATAATATACATTAAGGATACAAGGTATTTATGTTTAAGAGTTATAGCACTTGTTGATGTTAATTACATTTTTGACAGTTCCATAGTAGGTATTAAACCAGTATTCAATACAATTATATGAATATAAATAATATACAATAATCAAATTATAAACATTATAAACAAGTACATCAAAAGCTGTTATTAAAAATTCAAATATGTATCAATATAAAATTGTCCTATAACGATATATTGTGTATGTTTACAATAGGTTAATAGAGGCAAATAAAATCACAATTAATGTTTAATTTTATATAATTGACACATGCAATATAAAAACGCATGTTATAATGTTCTTCTGAAAATATTATGTCATATTCATTTCATACCTGACAATTCTGCATATTTTTCAATTAAAATCTTACACCCTCATTTAAAAAAAGTAACAATAAAAACAGCATTACTCAGTTGACATAATATTAAAAAAACTGAAAGAATACAAAACGGTATCTAATGTATGTATATTGTTACAAAAGATAGTTTAACGTAATTCACTATAAAATATAATTACAATAGAATAAGAACAACACATTTGGTTTGAATTTGACCTCTATTATAACAAAGACAAACTTTGAAGGTCATGAAACGAGAACATACTTCAAGCAATGACTACAGATTTGTATTTGTAGTCAATGCTTCGAGTTAAAGGGGCGAAGAAGCAGACGACACATTGCAATTGATGACAAGTTCGTATTTCGTATTCGTTGATTGGGTGATCATAGCCGGCAACTTCGCGTTCATTCTTCAAATATTTTTATAGCTCAAAGTTAATTCTTAAATTCGATTTATAATTTGTCACATTTTTCTTGCAATTGCAAATGTAATGTAATTGTAATTGACTGGCATTTAATAAATATTTATCAGACAGTGTATAGAAATTTAATAGAAATTAAAAAGAAAAAATAAGAAACTTATGATTGTGTATGATACATCATTACGGTAATATATCAATGATATTAAATAACTATAAAGTATTAAACAATATAATAGTATATATGTCTATTAGAAATTTATGAAACATTAAACGAAATTACATTTTTTTTAGGATTACCTTGAATTAGAATGTCATGTAGATGATTATTGATATAGAAAACTGCTATTATAAATATATAAGATTGCAAAATATGTATCGATAAGTTTTCAAATTAAATGACATAGTGCAAAAACATTTAACCAAAAATCAGTGGTTATTTCTTATCACTCGCTGTCATTCGCTTTCTCTTTCGCACATTATTTCAAAATGGCAGCCGCTACGGACGAACTGAGTAAGTGATCCCGAAAGAAATCATTTCAGTTTGTTAAAAAACAAGTATTTTTAACAATGACATTAACAGTACTATTAAATACACTTTCGATCATACAACAAAAACGTTATTACTAATGGTAACAGTATTTTTACGGTCCGTGGCTTGCATAAGAAACTCAATTGTCATGCCGTGTTGTAAAAGGCAACTTCAAATATATGATCGCTTTTTTTAATTCACATTCAAATCTACATTTTATAATTTGTCTCTTATACCCTTATATGTCTGTATTTAATTTTCAGCTTGTGTTCAATTGTCAAATAAATCCAACAAACTATTACCCATATATTTATTATTTAAACCTTTATAATATCTCAACATGTATTATTTAATGATTTTCTCTGTTTTCAAAGATTCACGATTAGTGTATCATATAATATCTTTTTATAATACAAGATTTATAATATAATTGATAAAATATGCTTTGTAATATTCTATTGAATAAATGGTTATATTATTTTTGAATATAATTTTTAGTAGTAAATAATTGTTATTCACATATTTTTTTCTTTGCAGAAATTAGGTAGTCTTTTCTAACATTAACAAAAAAAATATCTTTATAATATTGTCTAATATTTCATAATTTCATGTATAATTTTTATATACGAATAACATATATATATATATAACTTGTTGTTTCATGGAAGTCTTGCTTGAACGAGTATTCCTTCGCTTGGGTTCTGCAGAGACTGATGAACAGTTACAAGCATCAGTATGTAAATTTCTGCCACCAGTTCTACTTAAGCTGTCTAGTGCCCAGGAAGGTGTTAGAAAAAAAGTAATGGAGTTATTAATTCATATAAATAAAAGAGTAAAAAGTAGACCACAAGTTCAACTGCCAGTTGAAGCACTTTTGTTACAGTATCAAGATCCTGCTGCCAGTTCATTTGTGATTGTATGTTATCATTGTAAAGTATTGGTATAAAATATTTTTGATGCAATGAAAATTCATTTGTATATTATATGTTACAGAATTTTACAATTATATATATAAAACTAGGATATCCCAGAATGGAAATACAAAAGCAAGCTGAACTAATTCCAAGTGTGTTAAATGCTATAGAAGGAAAACCATTGTCTCATCAAGATAGGTTTGTTACTAACACGTAATTTGAATATCAAAAAATCAATGTAAATTTACTGTAAATATATTTATGAATTTCTTTTAGTTTAATGCTTATAATCATGCCTGCATTGGGTCATATTAATGTTCCTATGGATCCCGATAAACGAGCATCTTTGCTTGGTCTGCAAGATAAACCTTATGTATCAAAACAATTAATCAATTTTATGCTTGATGTTCTGTTGTTGCCATATGGGTAAGACCATGTAATTTCTACTTTGCTACATTTAAAATTAATCAAGTATGATACAAAAAGGATGATTACTATACATATTTATTTTAGATCTGTAGGACAAACAGAAAATCAGCAACCAGGTCAAGCTATTGACTGGTCACAGTTTCCTGTACCACCTGGATTAAGTGAATATGCATTTAAAAGAGTAATAGGTGAAAATCCACCAACAGCTGAACAGCTAGAACAAACGAAATTGGGAATCGTTAAATTTCTTAGTAGCGGATTCTTTTCTGATTCTGATATTCTCATACACTTTATAGTAGCAGCTGCTGATACCAGATTCAGTGTTGCTAATATGGCAGATTTAGAGTTGAAAAAGATTGTTAAGTACGTTTAAAAATGCTATTGTTTTTTACAGTAAATTTTTTACAAAAATACAATCAAATACTGAACATTTTTTTTCAGTACATTAGATTGGTCTTCAATGCAGTTAGCTGCTCCGCTTTATACATTATTTCTGGGTACTAATGCCTTAGCTGCCCAAAAAGAAGTTAAACCGGAAATGAAACGATCACCTGCGAGTACGCGAATTCGTCTTAAATTGTTGCATTATCTTTGTCGTGTAACTAAAACTGGTTTTATTATACCACCTTGTATTCAGGTACGTTTTATGATTATAGATTATATTATTTGAGATATAATTTTGATTAACTCGCAGGTAGTCTTTGATTCACTTTATGGAAAAAATACAAATACAAAGTTAAAATCAATGGCATTGCAATTTACATCAAATATTGTGCAACAGTGAGTATTATATGTTAATACCATTGAATGATAAGTTTAATAATATATTTAATGTTTTCTAAGATGTAGCCTAGCGCCATTATCCCGTGTAGCTGGAGTTATTTTAAATGGCATGATAAAATTAATTTCTGAAGGTGAAGATACTCATAAAGTAATGGCATATAATGTTATTGGACAATTGGGACACAGAATACCATCGCTGATTAATAAAGATTCAAGTTTGTTACGTAACTTATTTGATACACTCGTATCGGTAAGTAATTATAAATTATGTTATTAGAACTTTTTATTTTAAACTAAATTTTGTATGATGTTTAAGACTGAAGGTGATTTACGAAGAGCAGTGCGAGATGCATTGATTGCGGTAACGTCTGCATTTGTACTGAATAAAGAGGACGAAACTAATATAAATTTAATGAACGAATTGTTATCCGCTTACATCGAATCACCGGAATCTAACGTCAGGCATGTATAATTAGTGGAATAATTAATTATATAAGTGCTTCATTACTTATACAAGTCATATTCTTTTAAAAACAGATTTGTGGCTATGCATTATGCTGCTAATGTATTTCCCTCTGATGATGCGCCTTCTCGTTATCTTCTGTTGCTAGCATGTGGTGATAATAAACATGAAATAAGTACAGAAGCTAGAAAGGTTCTGTACATTGATATGAATAAAAATGAGAATGATAAGCAAGATAATAATCAAACTTTATTACCAGATTTCCAAAAACTTGTTATTTATATTTATTCAAAGATGCAAACAAGAATGCCGACTTCAAGTAATGGGAAAGTGAATGTTGAAAGCAAAGTACTTCCTTATAGCATTACTGTATTTACAGAGGTAATCAATTTAGTACAGTAACAAACTTTATTTTTTTTTTTTAAAAAGGTAAAAATGGTAATAACTTTTTTATTACAGATAATTACTTATCTTCGTATTTGTTTAGCGAACAGTGCGAATGTTACTGTATCCAATGAACCATTACAACATCCGTGTGAAAGTACACCTTTAATTGCACGTTATTTAGAAAATCTTTATAAAGAACAACCGGATACAGTAAACAAATATTATGACATGATTTTAATCTTTAGTAATGCTTCTGCAGGTAGGATTGAATTTAATGTTTTTAATAAATGTAAATACTACACCGATACTATAATGCAATAATTATTATGTAAAACAGATCAGGTTTCTCTGCAAGCTTTGTTAGAAGTAGTCAGTTTTGTTCCACAATATATAACAAGAATTTATGAAAAACAATCGTCATGGCTTCGTAATCTACTTACATCTACAAAGCCGGAAGTGAGACAATTAGCCGCTAAAGTTTATGGTGTGGTAACTGCTACACTTCCTATAAATGAGTTTGGGACTCAAATTTCTGAGATTATGGCTATTACGAATAAAAAGAACTTAGAACCTCAGCATGGAGGATTATTAGCTTTGACATATATGATGGAAAGACGATTATTAATTCTTAGAAAGAATACAAATGAGTCGTTTAATTGGGATCTTTATGTCAATGTTGTAAAAATGATATGTATGTACTTTATGTACATGTTTTGACGATATGTTCACATTTTTTTTTCTTAACACTGTTTAAAAAATACTTTTCAGGTAATTTTCTTCATAATAGTACAATTCCATTAATGGATGCTGCAATTCAAAGTATCGGTATTTTGGGAAAAACTCATGGGTTACCATTACCTGATGATGGTGAAGAAGAACCAAATAAAAAAGCAATTGTAGAAACATTATTTTCGACGGTGACTAACGCGAAATTAAATACTAAGGTTTGTTTCGTAATAATCGTTGAATGCGTAGAGTGAAAATTTAAAATTGTAATTTCAATATTTGCAGATTAAAGAAAAGGCTGCACTTTCATTAGGATATTTGTGTGTAGGAGAAAATTTTCCACACACTTCACAAATAATCGACAAAATAATTGGAATTGTTAAAGAAGTAATTAGTATTCTTTTTTATTTCTTAATTATATAACAAAATTTTTAATTATATTATAATCAAATTTTATAGACGAAAGATATTGAAATCCATTTAATTTTGGGAGAAGCATTAGTCTGCTGTGTTCAAGGTGAAGCATCTCCAGAGAAAAGGGATGCTTGGACAACTTTACCAATTGAACATGATGTACCTTGTAGTAACACCAGTACTGAATTATTAATAAAAACATTAGATAGATTGCTTGGAATGTACAAAGAACCACATCCTAATTTAAGACAGGTATTTATTTAGTAATATGTTCGAAGTTTCAATTTTTTTCATTTTTTTACTATAAATGTTTGTTATAAGGCGGTCTGTGTGTGGTTGTTAGCACTTTTAAAATATAATATCCAAAGGGAATGCGTTAAACAAAGATTTCCATCGTTGCATCGTGCATTCATGGATTTCCTTTCAGATGAGAGCGGTAAGTTATATATTTTGTTATCAAACAATAACTGAATTGAATTATTTATAATCAAAAAATGGTATTTTAATTGCAGATATAGTACAGGACATAGCAGCAAAAGGACTTAGTTTGATACATGTTAACAGTAATAAAGAAGAAAGAGAATCTTTAGTTTCTAGTATATTAGCTCAATTTACACAAGGACGTAGGAGCGTACAAGAAGTAACACCTGACACAAAATTGTTTGAAGAAGGTCAATTGGGAAAATCACCAACAAGGTAAGATAAGCTCATAATTACATATTATTTATCAATCTAATAATTGAATCCAATTTTAAATATAATATTTTCCTTATAGCGGCAACTTATCTACGTACAGAGAAATTTGTTCTTTGGCTACAGAATTACAAAAACCAGATCTGATATATTACTTTATGCATTTAGCGAATCACAATGCAGTATGGACCTCTAAAAAAGGTGCTGCATTTGGATTTGCAGCAATTGCGAAAATCGCAAGTGAAGAATTAAATAAATACTTGCCCAGTATAGTTCCACGCTTGTATAGATATCAATTTGATCCAACTCCTAAAATTCAACAAAGTATGTCTAGTATTTGGCGTGCAATCATTCCATCAACAAACAAAGCAGTGAGTAGTATTGCAAAATGCATTCAGTCATTTGTTCAATGACTATTTATAATTATACCTCGCGTCTTAATAGATTGAACAGTATCATCAAGAAATCTTAGATGATATAATTGATAATTTAACAAATTACGAATGGCGAGTGCGAATCAGTTGTTGCAATGCACTTGCAGATCTATTAAGAGCAAATGTTCGTTTAAATCTTGCAAAATATGCTCCAGAATTATGGAAAAAATTGTTTCGAGTAATGGATGATATTCACGAGGGCACACGAGTAGCTGCTACAAATACATCTAAAATACTTAGTAAAGTAAGTTTTTTATTTAAACTATTTATTTATTGTATTTTGTTTTGGTGTATTGCTGACATTTTTTATTCAGGTTTGCATTCGATACTGTGATTCTTCCTATGGCAAAGAAGGAGAGGAAGTGTTACAAGCAATATTGCCTATACTATTGGATGTCGGAGTTATTCATGTTTTGAACTCTGTAAGATCAGTATCTCTGCAAACAGTGTCCCAATTAATTCCAAAGGCTGGTAATTTACTTAAGCCATCGTTAATCACTTTAATACCTGCACTGTTGAATGCAATTGGCGAATCAGAAAATCCTAATTTATCGTATTTGAGTAATGTATGCGGAGGTACAGCCGAGGCACGAGACGTTATTGATAATATTAGAGCTAGTGCTGCTAAAGGGCATTATGCTACTGACACAATAACGAAAGTAAGTTATTTGATGCAGAAACATACAATCACACAGGAATTGTATCTTATTAATAATTCATGTTTATTTCTATATAGTGCATACAGTACATTGATGCAGATATTTTAAAAGAATTAATGCCAAAGGTGATAGAATTAATTAAATCCAGCGTGGGTTTCGGAACAAAAATTACTTGTTTGCATTTTATCATTCTTTTAAGTACTCATTTTAAACAAGAAATGCAACCTTATACTGGTTAGTGAAAGATTAAGATGTTAATTTAAAAATTAAATATGAGTTATTACAATTTAATATTTGTATAGGTAAAGTTTTATCGACTTTAATGAATGGATTATTGGATCGTAATTCTGTCGTTAGAAAAAACAATGCAACTGCTATTGGACACATAGTTGGATCAGCTAAAGAATCGAGTCTTGACAAATTATTTAAAACACTTAACACATGGTACATAGAACGAGGTCTGTATGAAAGAATTACACACATATTACGCTTACATATAACTGAGAAGAGTAAAAAGTATATTGTCTTTGACTTCAAATTTCAGACGATTCAGTCAAGTTAGGTATTGGACAAACCTTACAAGCTATAAATAATTATAATCAAGAGACACTAAGAAATTATTCAAATATTGTTATACCTCTCACCTTTTTCGCAATGCATGGACAAAAAACACAAGGTTTGTATTCAATTTTACAACATAATTAACGTAATCAAGATCAAATATTTATGAATAATATTTTAACAGAAAACGAAAACTTAATTGACTTATGGACTGATGTATGGAACGAAATAACTCCAGGAACAGAAGCAGGAATCAGGCAAAATGTGGAATCAATAACAAACATTTTACGTAGTTCTTTAGAATCAGCTTCTTGGCACACAAAAGCACAAGCAGCTAACGCAGTTAATACGTTAGCTCAAAAATTAGGTAACGATATCGATGCAAGCGTGAGAGATATTTTGTTGAAAGTGTTAATCGATGGTTTACGAGGAAGAACGTGGGACGGGAAGGAACGATTGTTAAGTGCTCTCGCCACCCTGACGTGTAATAGCAAGTATGCATTTTAATATTCTCGTTTAGTGGGATAATGTTACGACAAATTTTTCTTGTTTTGATTTAAAATCAATACTTTGATTGCAGGCAAGGTCTTAAAGATAATACCGAGATAACTGCAGATATAGTACAAGCGTTATACAGAGAAAGTAAAAAGGAGGCTTTAGAATATCGTCGTCATGCTCTAAAAGCATTTGGTATGGTCTTGCACGAATTAAACGTCGATAAATTTAAGGAAGTATACGATATCGCTCAAGAAATTTGGACAACGGTATGTACTCTACAAATAAAAGTAATATGATGATTTTCTCAACACTTTTACAATAAGCATTATATGGCGTAGTTGCCAAAGAAAGATGAATCCGAATCTCTAATTTCTGATGAGAGAATAAAAAGGAACGATGACACAGTGAAATTATACGAGACCATTTTTGAAACACTTGGAAAAGCATGGCCATCTTCTTGTAAAGAAACTCAAGGTAATTACATCACATTTGATATAAAAATTATATGTATGTACAGTACCGAGCATGGTAGATTTCCGCAGGGAAAAAGGCAATATTTCCCCTTCCCCTAATTATAATATTAACATTGTCAAAAATGCTACTCTATTTCTTTTTTCTAGATAAATATTGTATAGAACTTATAACATGTTGTGATAAAATGTTTCCTCTTCAATCTACAACTATACAAATATCAATATTAGTAATGCTTAATTTATTTGTGGATAAACTTGCTTTGCTCAAAACAAGTAATTCAGAATTATCAATCAAAGATAAAGAAATGTTGGATTCAATTTGTAATACGCTTAATAAAATATTAAGTCGTAGTATAGGTAAGTGTAACGAATGTTTAAATATAATTATATTATTCTGTAGAAATTAATATGAATTTATTTTTTGTGATAGATATTTCGTATACCAGGATAAGAAAAGAAGCCTTGAATATGGTTCTGTCTCTTGGTAAAAAGTTACGCGATACTAAAAATACTGAACAATTTGATAAAATGACCTTAGTAATTCAGAAAGTTTTATCGGAATTAACAAAGGATAATGAACCAGAAATTCGAACAAGACTTATTGATATCAAAGAAATGTTTAAAATATGAAATCAGTGCTTAATTTTAGTATTATCTAATCGATGTTCTGTATCTCCAAAGTTAATAACTTTATTTTCAGTCACTTTAAGGTAGAGATGATGATACAGAAGTATGGTATCTATTAATATGTTTATTTAAAGACACTTTATTATAAATGTTTCTAGCATGAACAATTATTTAATAATATATAATTTAAGTATAAACCAACTGATACTTGTTATAGTTTTCTATTTTTTCTTTTATATCTGGCTTGTAAAAAGATAGAAAATGTTTTCACATATTACACAAATTCAACCATTTTGATTTTTAACAAATAAATAATTCAATTTATTTTATGATCTTTTTAAATCAACGAGATTTATGTTTAAAATCGCGTTTTAATGGGGTAAGTATATTATAATAGGCAATAATAACTATGATTATACATGATGTATCATTTTTATATAAGTAGATACTTATATAAATTAACAAATTACAAAAAATAGGATTTGAAATTTGACTGAATAAATTGTAAGTATTTGTGTTACAAATAAAAAACAGTCTGAAAGTTACGATCGTTTGAGACACATTTATTGTATTTTTTCTACTAAAATTTTAGCACCTGGATTCGACTTCGATTCTAGAACATCCATCACTGGTTTCAATTTGGTGAGTAAAGTATCTACAGTAGATGTTGTTTCATTTTCTAATAATAATACTAATAAAAAGCATCCTCTATTACATTCTATCCATCTCTCTATTGTTTTTCTTTTCAAATGAGGAAGTAATACTTCGCCAAATGTAGTTTCTTCTTTATTTTGTAATTCTTTGTCATATTGTATAAGTTTTTTTAACATCATGTGTAGACCTGGATGTTCAATTGGTTTATATTCGTTATTTCCATCTTTGATTATTGATTTTTTAACAGTAATAAACGTAGCAATTGAATCAAGAGCTTGTTTCAGTTTTTCTCCAGTACCTACTTTTAATATTGCTAAAGTTACCATTGCAATACAACTGGTGGACATCCAAGTTGCTGTATTCGTGGTTACAGCCTTAAGAAGTGGATCAGAAATAATATCACGAAGTTCTTTTTCTCTAATGTCGGCAGGTTTCTTGCTTGTTGCGTTATTATCTCCTTGTTCCAAGTATGATACTATACTAGGAGGAAAATAATGAGAGTTTCTTCTAGATATTAAATACAAAATTATATGTTTTCCATGATCATTTAAAGCTATATCTGTTAAATCTTTTTGTATTTCTGAGAGTATAAGTTTGTTCATCAGAACAGTGTCATCTACCGAATCAAATAATGCTAATAATATTAAATACCCATGTTCAGACATTGCAATACTTTTCACATGTTCTTTAAGAACCTTCATCATGATTTTTCTATCTTTGTTTGTGCCATGCCATATGCATATTACAGCTATTTTCGAGCCAATTTTTGTTTGAGACAATTCTACTATTGAACTTCGTAACATAACTATCATTTCTGTTCTATCTTCATTTGTACAATTATTTAAAAATTCTAAAAGAACACACTGTACAAGTGTATGATTTAAAAGTTTCTTGTTCAATATCCTCATCAGATTTCCTTTTACAGCAGACAATGTTGCTGATTTCATATCTTGTGCAGTCTCAAATACATCAGACAATGTCTTGACATCTTTGTCCTTAGCTTGTTTGTACATGTCACCATAAAATTCTTGTTTTAGATACATTTTCTCTAAATCTGTTGCCCGTGTTGAATATATATCTTCCATTAATGGTGCAGAAACAGAATGACTCACAAGTCTTACTACATTACCATAACAAGCAGAAATAATTTCATTCCTAATTTCTGGAGAACCATATTTCAACATAATTTTAATACAATTTTTTGCATACTTTGATTCAATCATAGATAATAGTAAAGGTTGTAGTTCCTTAAAAATATTCTGACGAATCTTTGAGTCAGAATATTTGTACATCCACTGTACAATACGAGACATATCATGTGTAAGCACTACTTTATTATAATTGCCTTTTAATAAATCATGTGCCTTTGCAATTAATTTTTTACGTTCTAATGTTGAGCAATCAGATCTACGTAATTTTTCACCAATTCGTTTTGCTTCAATTGATAATTCATAAATGTCACTGAACCTTTTAATTTTATATTTTTCTTTAAGCTCCTTCTTCTGCTTTTTAAATTCTACCCAATTTGGTTTTTCTGCAGAGTTCTGATCTGATGTTTTATGCTTTTCCATTTCATTCTTATTCTTGTGTTTAATGTTCTCTTTACCATTTGATGAAAGTTTTTCATATTTTCCTTTCTTCCCTTCTTTAATTTTGAGTTTATTACTTTCAGTTTCTTTAATAACATCATTCTTATTACTGATACTGTTACTTATTGCTACACTTTTCTTCTTTGGATTTGATTCATTATCCAGTTTTACTTTTCGTTTCCCCATTTTATAAAGTTCTACGACACACAAAATCAATATAAAAAGAAATTAGATTCTTATTAATACACACATTTATATATATAGTTTTTTAATTTCATTTATCTGATCCATATAACCTATAAATGGTTAGAATAAACATATTAATTACTTTAAATTTACTTACTGTTTTAAATTTGTTTTAATTTATATAAGTATATCGCATTGAATCAAAGAATAAATGGACCTATAAATATACAATAAAATATACTTATTTAAATTTTAATGAACATATCAGGTGCAACCATAGACATGTTTATGGGTGCAACACGTGCTATGTTCCACACATTCGTAACATGTTTATATAGATTATATTTAAATACAGTGACTAAAACCCTTTATTTGCATGTGTAAGGTAAGAACTGTCAAATTAGGTAAGTCAGTCAAAACCAGCATAAGACCGAAAAATTAATAAATTAATTGTTTAACAAACTTGCATTTTAAAAAGACCGCCAAAAATTAAAGTTTTTAAAATTCGATCTTAGCGCCATCTATTCGTAAACGGCTGAAACTACTCAACAACTTACCGATCGATTTTACAAAACAAGGGAACACTAGCGCCCTCTATTGGGGAATCGCGGAAACTACTTGTCGACTAGTTTCCGCGATTCTCCAATAGAGGGCGCTAGTGTTCCCTTGTTTTGTAAAATCGATCGGTAAGTTGTTGAGTAGTTTCAGCCGTTTACGAATAGATGGCGCTAAGATCGAATTTTAAAAACTTTAATTTTTGGCGGTCTTTTTAAACTGCAAGTTTGTTAAACAATTAATTTATTAATTTTTTGGTCTTATACTGGTTTTGACTGACTCAAATTTATATAAGTATATATATTCAATCTTTGATTGGTAATAAATACATACACATACCTACTCCATAAGGGATACTTATGATATCATTAAATAGAATGAAAGAAATAATGTTGATGTTATTTAATATAAATAAAACTCATAAAAAACATCACTGTAACATCAAAATTCAAATCACTACGACTGAAATGAGTTGAATCCCTTTATTAAATCCTCGTTAATCAATCGTTCCAAAGGGCACGTTAAAAGATCCGTATTGCAATGGTTCATTGTTTTTTAATGTAATTCATAGTAGTACAGTATAATATTAATTAAATCGATTATATTAAATATTGTTTCCTTGTATGCATTGTGTAACCGAATAACGATACAGACGAGACTAGCAGAATGGTGAACCTTCATTAGCGCTACCATTCTTTCTTTTTTTCTTCTTTTTATATCTCTAATTACGTTCGATTAAATTATCCCAGTGTTTTCTTCATGCAACGTTTTCTTACCAGTGTCTTTCTTGGCAGCGTTTCAGACGATGAAAATGAACATTCGAGGGAAGCCCGTTTCCAACTGAATAAGACGATAATTCAAGGATCGTGAGATACTGCGCTCTTCGTGGTTGATTCATAGTCAAGGTCACGGTTTTGAATCATCTTAAAGGCACAGGCAACGGATGTGACATTAATCAAACTTACGTGATTCATGCAAATTATGGCTTCAAAGCAAAGGGTTTTTTCTATTACTGTTTAACCTAACCCCTTCATTGATTATTCCTTGTCGAGCATCGTGAAAGGCATTCTTTATAGAAGTTCCAAGTGTCCCAATTATGGTCCGCAGTGTATATACTATTAAAGTACCATAATAGGGCACTAATTAACAAGACCTTTCACGGTACTCGACGCGAATAATCGCGAACAAAGTTTACTCGATTATATAGATATTTAACATTCGTCGAATTGATAAAATTCAGCTGGATTTAGTCGATTATAAAAAAACACCTCACGGATCGTACTGATTGTGGACACAATTGTCTTTTGCTCGAGTTATCAACCTAGATATTAAGGAGGGGCGTGTAACGTTAACCTGAATTCGTATACGATCATTAAACGGAACCGTATATTTTTATTGCATCTATTCATCGTTACAATCAACCCTTAAAAGTAGAATTTAATTCTTTGGTGTTTCAAAAACCTCGACAATTATTTTCTTAGAGAATTTTTGAAAATCAATGATTATTGATAATTCCCAACATCTAGGAGACGTGTTTATATAATTATCAATAAGAGCATCTAAATTTTGATCCGTCGATCCGCAAAGTGTTTCATCCATTTGAAACTGAACATTGGAATGTGTACTGTACATGGGATGCTAAAATATCATATACATAAGTGTACATGTAGGGAGAGACATGATGGCGGGACACGCGAGAAACTCTCTGATACACAAATGATTTCACGAAACGCATGTACGATTTATCACGTATATATGTGTATATATATATATATATATTAGATGTATATATAAAATCGTCTTCTTTAGTTAATATCAATAACTCGTATATACAAATTTGTCGTCTCATTTCGCCTATCAATTCTAAATTACCGGTCTGCTAGTCGCTTTAGTCGATCGACTGCTACTAAAAATGTTAATACACGTGCGGAACAGCCTGATCGGAAGATAAGGGAATAAGTTGCCAATGCCTTCAAAATTTCAGTGTCAGTAATACGACGCCTCGTAATACATAGAAGATACCTAAATGAGATTTCTGTACACCCGGATGCAACGTAGACTTCTCTTTAGTTAAAAGGGACCTTGGGATAATTAACTGAGGGAAGCCTAAATTGCACGAGATTGTACCTTGGCTAGCTCTCCTACAATGAACGTTTCAATTAGGGGCGTCACGGGTATCCGTGCACCCTTACCTCGAACGTTTTCGTAAATCGTCTCTATCGGTTTTCGCTACGATCACTTTTGTCTACCCGATGGCAAAATTCGACAAGCAACGGATGCATTTATGTTTTACCATGTTGGCTTCCATGCTCGAATTCGTAATTCACAGGGATCTATGGAGTTGATTGAGATTCTTTTAACGACAAATTTTATCCGCAACACACGTTTCTCATGACACTGGATGTCTCGGCTTGGTCAAGATATTCCTTTTTTTTTTTAAATTTATGTTCAATTTCACCAAAAACGAATCAATTTACAACAGAATGAACAAATCCGTTTAATAATCGTGTTTTTATTTCTCCTAAGGGTGAAATGAAACGCTTCGTACATTTTCCAAGTGGCAAGCTTTAAATTGGCAAGCGTTAAAGGTAATCCGGCGAAGAAATAAAAAGGAATATCAGAGGATATAATATGGTCGCAAGAATGTATTGATTCTTTGCTGTTTAATCGTTAAAAAAAAAGAAAACAATTAATTTAACAAAAACTTTAAGAAACGCACTTTTTATAATAACCATTTTTTCCTATCTTTTTTCTATATAAATACTCGCATTTCCAAAACTAAAAAATAACAATTAAATCGCTACAAACAATTGTCCAATTCGAATAAATTACATTTACGTCTCGTTCAAAGTAAATGAACGCGTAACTCAATTAAAACTTGGTTCGTTGATGGTGAAACCGAATGAATTGAGCGTACTCGTTAGAATGTAATTAAATATCCCTCTATGTACCTTACGTTCTGGTACAAACGAACGGAAAACGTGAAACAGTAACGACACAAAGGCACGACGAATTTCTGACTCCTCTAGCCGGCATTTAAATCTTCTAATCGAACCTTCCGAGCCTCTAAACACAGTTAATTTAATCTTTTTCTCTATATAAAGGATACATTGAACGTCAAAAAGAAGTATATGTGCGTACAACATGGAAATTGTGTTACAACTTTGGAAAAGAGAAAAAGAAAGTTAATATTTCAAAAGGCTCGAAAGGATCCGATGTTACATCGACGTTCAACCCTTTGGGTTTTCATTCCTTTTAACGTATACACCTATGTTTTGTCGTATTACAGTTGTACGTTACGATTAATTACATTAATTCCAGTGATAAAGCTCGCCTTCTAAGAGCGAAAACGCTTCAACATTCTGAATTCTACTTCCAAAAGGATTAAACGACGTTGTACGCAAAAGATTTTCATCATCTTTGAACGTCGTCGAAATCATGAAGAAAGGAATTAAAAGATTGTGGAGGCGTGAAAAGATTTTGGCAATGTCAAAGTACATCCGTATAAATAATCTATCGCTTCGATATTTATTTCTACAATTAATATTAAACCTGTCTTCGCTTTTGTTATTCGACAACGATGGAACCTTGGACGATTACAAATTCACCGGGAAAATTCACTGGAAGCCTTAACGTTACTTAAACAGATCAATGAATAAAGAAGGAAGAACGCAAAGTAGGGACACCGTTGATTAATTGCTACAAACATATAAAAACACAAATAATTTTGCATATATATATATATATATATAATTTGTAAAACGTTATCATTCTATTTTCCTTGGTCTTCGAGATAAAAATGAGATAAAACTGAGATTGAAAAAATTCGAGTTGCCGGCTCATAGAGTTTAACGCGTCGTATCTTTTTCAATAGACGCCATATATCACCATGATATACAGTGAATTAACACCAAGGTGAATGTCAGGGAAATCTATACCTCAAAGGTATCACTAGCGTCGCGTTATTACAAATCGACGATATGCGAAATGTCGATGTTCAATAACGAAACTGATGTCGTTTGATTGGCATCGATTAAACACTCGTCAATTACAATGACAATTAAATTATACCCATAATTAATAAACGCGATGTTAAACGTGAACTTTCCTTCCGTTTCCTCTCACTGCTGTTACGTTGAACAAGAAGACGACGGCATATTACCCAAAGAAAGGATCCTCTTTCGGTTAACTTTCGTAAATATAACAAAGTGACTCGACGTACATGTTTTCTTTTCTTGGAAGCTTTTAATACACGTTCTGTGTATGCATATATACGGTGGGTGTACGTGTGTGTGTCTCAATTGCATTTGCATATGTTTAAACGACAAACGATACACTTCCCTGCGGAATTATATCTCTAGCGGAGGCTAATAGTTATGAACAAATAGAAACATCAAAAAGGCCAACCGATGGGATGTTTGAACGTCGTAGCAATTTATCGTTGGGAACGGCGAGCAGTGAAGTCGAAGAACGATCCGCACCTTGAGATTATGCTTTGAGATTAGTTTCTGCTCCTTGTTACGCCTGTCGTGATCCTCGGCCAAGCTTCTGAGCCGTCAAACAATCATACGGCACATACGTAACACGACTGACAACAATGAGAAACAAGCAGTTCGGGTAACGGAGCTGCGTACCAACAAATATCGCAGCACCACTAACAGCATCGCGAATTCTAAAGCCTTGTGAAACCAATACAATCTGAAACATAACACGATCAATTATAAATATTACGTTAGTTGAATTTGATAATTTTGCACTCTCAGGCAACGTTTCTGGTAAATAATTTTCTATGGATCATAAGCAAGAAAATATTATTTTACTTTTTGATGTGTGAACGAGCAGCTGGCAGTGTGTCCGGACTCTCTTTCAAAATGAAGTGCCGAATTCCCAATATATAATGCTCTAAATACGACGGCCAATCAATTTGTCTGACGTCGAACATAAACGTTTGCCGGTCCTCTGGGCTGAGCTGTTCTCCTAAGTTTCGAACATTGTCATCCCTGAAGTTCCACTGTTGTGTGCTGAAATACTCCAAGCATTTCGCAGCTTTACGGAGTTTTACCTGTATGCCGACCATGATGGTCGGTTTCCCTTTCAGCCGATACAGGAAGTCTAAAATATGCGCCGGTATCACGTGTTGGAAGAGGGAGCACATTTTGTTCATTACAACGGAATTACGGCATCGACCACCCGGATACCAAATAGCACCGTTCGGTGGATGCATTCGGGTGTACTTGAACATCAGATCAACGAACTGCTTCCAAGTGATCGGGTTCTGTTGACCTGTACAACAATTATACACGGGAATCGTTTTCGTGCGATTCGTCGCGGTCCTCCATGCCGCGCAAATCATCAGATTTATCACTATATCAACTGGCACCAAATCTGCGATCATGTTCTCGTGACACAGCATTGTTCTGCAACAAATTATAAAGGTCAGATAGCGTTGAATTTCTAATCGAATTTCCACCCATTTTCGTTTCATCGAGGAGATATTATAGCACACCTGAAGACACCCTTGCCAACAGCAGCAATGAGCCCGGTAGGTCCGTTACAGTTGTCCACCCAACCAGCTACCGGTTCTCTAAGTGACGACAAAACGATAGAAGGTCTAACGATCGCTACTGGTAAATAACCAGACTCCAATTGCAATATCCTTTCGGTCAGGGCTTTGGTGAATGTATAGGTGTTCGGTCGGTTACCAATCAAAGCCGGTGTTATATCGTCAACCATCTTTGTATCCATGATCTTCGTCAATGCGATCACATGTTCAGGTTCAGCTTCAAGCGGATAAATCTCTTCGGCGACGTCCTTGCGGTCGCAATTACAATACGCCGTCGACACATGGATCAGAGCCTTCGCAAAGAGATATGATAATTAATGTACTTTCTATCCGATGATGCATGCGATGCTTTTAGATAATTAAATTTTATTTTATGTATCACCTCCAAATTACACATGCGATGACACAAATTCAAGAGCTGTTTGGTGCCGACCATGTTGATGGTCACAGAAAGCTTCAACGCCTCGTCGAATTTTACAGTAGCAGCGGAATGAAAAACGATCGACACATTTTTTATTAATACAGCTTGATCAGCTTCCGAGATACCTAATTCGTGTTCCGTTATGTCTCCAGCCACAGGAATCACTTTCGATAGCTCTTGCGGGTAATCTTGTCGCAACTTCTCGAACAGCTATCGACATAAATTATAATAAATTAATTATCTAAGAAATCACTTGATTAGAATAAAAAAATAAACAAATATGACTAACAACGGTAAATTTCTAACAGCGTCTTCTGGTAAAGAATGAATCAATCCTTACCTATACCATTCAACAAAAGTTTCTCTAATTCAATTTTAAAGTTGCAAAGTAATAAAAAAGCAATGAAATCATCTTACCGGTCCATCCAATAGTTGTTTCAACCTCTGTTGGACATCCTGTCCCCTCTTGGGTCTCATTAACAAATAAATATTTTTTATCCCTGGACAAGATCTGAGTAACTTTTCGACGAGTACTTTGCCCATGAAGCCAGTACCCCCGGTGATGAAGATAGACCTGTCCCTGTAGAACTCCTTCACAGACGTACACTGGGTGCCGGTCATTGTGCTCATTTTATCTTCTATCTTCCTGGTTTTATTTTTTTTCTTCCTTTTATTCCAAACAAAATAATGCTTTCTTTTTTTCTTCGATTGCAACGATCAATTTCTTGGAAATTATCTTCTCGAGGATCGGATAGAAAATCACTTCCAACTTCTTTTTTTGTTTCTCTCTTCGGTTTTGATCTTTGGTCTTGATTTGATTTCTTCGTTACCACCTTCAGTGTATCTCAAGGCTACGTATTTTATCTAATTTACACCTGGTTCGCACTGTACAATCGTGTGGAATATTATAAGAGACACGGTTCCTCAGAGATGAGGGAACAAAGTTTGAGAAAAGTGTAACGAAAACTGGTTAACGTTCACGCCGTTCCACGGTTTTCCAAGCGGGATACAAATGGACTTGATTTCTGCTCGACTCATTTCGTGCCTCCTGCGACCACAGCTTCTACTTTGACTGCAATCAGATATATGAAAAGAAGAGATTAGAATCGTTCCTTCTGTTCTTTCCTTTCTGCCGTCAAACGAGACACGTGGGTTCCTATTTGGTGAATGGTATTACCGTAATCATTTTAAGTTACGTTATCGATTGTGTCAATGACTCGTGTAGATTTAACTAAAATTTTATTTAACTAATCTTTTAGCACCGGAAGTGCTCCATATTTTTTGATTAAATTTTGATATCGATCGATCGATAACGATAATACTAAGAACTTTTACTGTACCAAATAATACAACTATAATTGCAGTGCCAGAAATTCTGGTTTTCTTTTATCAGATAACTGATAATGATAGGATTAAGTTTGAAAAGTAAAGTGATACCGTTTGTTCCATTTTTCGGAAATTTAAACATTATTATCAATGAACAGTTTACTTGCAAACGGAGACGAGAAGAGCGTGCCAAAAAGATTGAAATTTTCGACAGAGTGACGACCTATAAAAATAAGAAGTAGGTCAAAGTTTTGTCTCGAACGACTAAAGGAAACGTGAAAGTAGACTAAAGTAGACATCTTTTACATAAATGCATTAGAAGACACAAATGTAGACCTTGAGTCTTGTTCCTTCGAAATGGTCAGCCAATTTCACTGATAAATGTACCGACGAACAAATCAGCTTTTGGCTAAGCAATCCTATTTGAATTTATAATTTCACAAACCAGTCTCGTCCGTGAGATTCGATGGATTTTAAGAAAATATAGGAACGATTGATTAATTCTTCAGCGTTGAAAGGGCCACTCTGTTAAATATAGTACCAGCTATTGATAAAAAATAGCTCAGCTTTACAAATTATTCGAAAACCATCTTCTGATTAGAAAAAGTGAACATTGTTACATAAGAAATAATTAAAACATGAATGGAGTAATTATTTTGCAATTAAAATGACTCGACTTTTATTGTCGCTTCTCTGAGTACAAATAAAAAACAGCATAAAAAGGATAAGTGGTTTCATTATCTCTACTCGAATAATTTATTAACAATCACTTTGTCAGTTTATCTAATTAGTCTTTATTAGCGTTTGAATAATTTTGTATTCACTCGAAACCGGTCCCTTTTCTTCAGGATTGAAATTTTGAAAATCAATACTGACGCAAGCTCAGCACGGAATGGAAGATGAACGATAACAATGATTGGAAGAACGGTTTGGGGAGGGGGAAGGGAATGAATTTTTCGAAATACGTGCCGCTAAGCACAAGTTGGGAAACGCTAGAACGTAGAGAGAAGCGGTTTCAACGGGATTCTAGGTCAGCGTCCCGGCCTCGAAACGGTCACGAGAATCCGCTCGTTCCTCGGCCTCCGCAGACGAAGAAACAAGGAAGAAAGAGAGGAACGTCGGCTTGGTCGACCCCGTTACATGAAAACCCGTTATACGACGAAGAACAACGACCGCGACCGACTGACTGACACAATCTTCTTTTCCTTTCCGTTTCTCTGTATCTCCTCAATTCCTCTCATTATTATTCCTCCTTCGCCTCTCTTTTCCTTTTTTTTTTTTCTCTCCACCTCCAGTGACACGTTAACTGTCTACGCGGTAAAAAAATGGACATCCGTGGCAAGGTACGTTAACCCTTTGCGTTATGATATCATCGGTGAGCTGGCAACACTTCAGATTTTTTTTTACTTATTCGCGTAGTTTCCTGGGGCCATTTTTTTTAAGTGCCATTTTACCAAATTTGCTTTGAATTAAAAAAATTTAACGAGATAATACTATTTTGTTTTGATCTTTCTTGGATTCCACAAATGGTGTTCTGGGACCATTTTTTTTACTAAGTGCCGTTTTATTAAATTTTCTTTGCAACTTTTCACGTTAAATTGTATTTTCAACGAGATATCGTGCTCTTCTTTATTCGCAGTGCATGTTAAAATATGCTAAATGGCAAACGAGTAATTCTTGGACTTATTAAAGAATACTGGAACAGACTGGAATATATCAGCATTCTCAGTGAAATGATTCGTAGAATTAATATAAAGAATCTTTGAAAATGTTGGATTAGATAATGCATAGCCCTCCATCGTAAGGAATGTGCGAACGGTAATTAAATCCCAATTATGTATTACTGCAAAGTACAGGTTACAAAAGTGAAAGTTTATTTAAACACTTGTATACTGGAAGGAGACTCGTGCCGGACGAATTGATTTTTCTATTTAAAAAAATAATGTACCTCATTTCCGAACACCTATTACGAAACAGCCACTTTTCAACACTGTCTGAATTTAAATACGAACAGATGCTCAAACGACTCAAAATGATCACGGAAAATGATTCACTAGCGAGTTAATTATATACGATACACATTAATGATTCTACTATAAGTCGATCCCACGAAATACTGTGAACTTGAACTTCACTCGCGGCCACTTTGAACTTACTTTTACTTTCGAACGTTTCAGGAACTTTCGCCGAGAAATTCCGACTGGCAACGATCAGTGTCGAACAATACTTCAATTTTGCGCGATAAAATAACAGAATTTCGATAAATCAAATTTAAATCCAAACGTAGAGTCGAAGGAGTTATGCATTATCGGGGCACATGAACATCCTTATAGTTTATGGTATTTTGGAAGAAGACTCTATACGTGGGTCATCTAAAAAGGTTGAACAAAATTAAACCTGTATTTTTAGCGAAATAACAATTGATCACTTACTGGATGACTCAACTGCCGATGAAAGTGGGAGTTGGTTATACTCGTCAGTAAAGAGAACAACGAGAGTACGAAGCGAAAAAGTCGAGGAACAGTTAGAAGAATCAGTAACAGTACAACACCATGGGAATAATTAAAATTCCGTGACGCACATATCGTTCGTATCATATCAAAGGAACGTTCATCCTGTCGATCATTCTCGCATTACAATTCGGAAGTCGATGCCCCTCTGACACACTTTGCACAATTGGACTTGCAATAGCTCCAAGCAAATAACTGATCTTCAATTCTCATCCATCTTACGAAATTAATTACACGAAATTTCAAATTCGTTCACTGTCGGGTGAAACATATGTGGGTCGGTCGCTGTGCGCCATCGTGTTTAATCATTAGCGTTGATTACCGATCACAAACTAGTGCTAAAATAATTAACATTATATAGGATCCCTCAAAACACGTAATAACTGTAATCATAGATTAATTGTATATTCTTGAAAAATATGAATTTCATTATGATAGAGTTAAGGATTAATTAGTTTCTGATTGTTTTCAATTATAAATTAATGAAGCCCACGTTCCTTTGATTTCGTGTCCAGCGTATGACACGATAATTATCATGTTTTAATTCAAGCTCATCGTCGATTGAATAATTTATACGATTGCAACGAAACGAGAAGAAGGATGAAACTCGTGGCCACCTATTATGGTCGCTTGCAATTGTACTTGCAAAAATTGCAAAATGCACCCGCCAAAAGTATAAAACTTTTCTTACGTCACGACAGAATACGAATATTAATTAAATTAATTAAATAAATAAAAGAAAAAAAAATCAATGTGCAAGCGATATCAGGGGAACAAAAATAAACGTGTTAATTATCTTGAAAATAATATGCTTCCGAAATCCATGAATCAATGAATTAGTAATTAGATTTCCAATATGAAAAAATAAGCGAGGTTCATCTAGTTTACTATAGAGTTTAAAAAATATATTTGATCTCATCACACGATTTTGCAATTCCTACGTAAAAGATTCTTCCGAGAAGTAATAAGCCTGTACAAATACACTCCGTTTACTTAGTGGACTTGAAAAAATACCATCGGACGAAACAGTCCGTGTAAATTATTTGATTTTTTCCGTCGCGTTAACGATTCTGTAATCCACTCGGTAAATAGTTCGATATTTTTCTCTCAGAATTCTCTCACGGTCGTGCGTACACGTACGATGATAACACAGATTATGCAAAATTAAAATTGGTGCGGAATCTAAACAGTTGTAATTTAAACAGCCTCGGGCTGAGCTTATTTTTTTTTCATCTCTTCGAAATACAAAAGTCAACATTTCGGTGAATTATTTTAACTTCCGTGCATTTTGCAAGTCGACTCGAATTTCACGTAAATTGCATAAAAAGAAACAAAATTTCGTTGACGTTAACGTTGTGTACTCGTTGATTCGTATGGTACCATAAATATCTTTCAATAACATCGGATATTTTTTTCACAAACTTTTTCAGTGATGAAATCTACAGGATTGCAACAGAAACAATAACCTTTTGTTGCGCAAGAATTACAACAAACGATGAGTAAAGGAGTTTAATAATATCAGATTGTCAAAAGTGTCACACAAGTAATGGAATAATAATTTCCTTCAACGAATAAAATTGTGTAACTGTAAACTCGTGGAAGCGGTATTTAAGTACTAGACAATAATTACGTGATAATTACTCGAGTAGAAAATAAGAATGGTAAGTTGACCAGCATGTGACACGGTTCAAAATAAAAAAAAAAAAAAAAATATTTGAAAACAGAAAAAAAAAGAAAAATAGGATAGCACGATAGCGCTCATATTTATCGTACGCAAGATGCAATTCTAACAGCGAGTGAGATTTAACGAGATTTAAATTGCATCACTGCCATTCGTTGGCAATTTTCCGATGCAGATAAAAGTGGAGCACACGCTTTTCTGTATTTTACGTGAAATCGATGTTCCTTAATCTTTTTATTGCGGCGAGAATTCGACTTTGATCAATTTTTAGAGGGATTAATTTCGTATTCGGTACTCTAGGTATTTAATACTGAATATTTGATATTCGGTACTCTAAGGATTCAATAATGGATATTTGATGCCTAGGTATTTAATACTGAATATTTGATAATCGGTACCTTAGGGATTTAATACCGAGATACTAGGGAATCTTAAATGAAGCTTAATCATAGAACAATAAATAGAGCTTTGGTACTCGAAACTCTAGAGACTTAATGTTAAATATAATTAGTGAAATTAATCAAAGGATCGAAAGGGTTATCATAGAAAAAAATA